AAATGCAGCTGTGGACAAATAGAAACAGTTGACCATTATCTATTGTATTGTGAAAATTATGAGGAGGCTAGAGAGAAACTCCGCTCTGCACTCTACTTCATAACATCAAAACTAACACTTGAATCAGAAGTATTATTAGCAACAACAGAAAATGAAAATTACAAACATCACATAGAAGATATTCAACATTTGTTAGGGGTCTTTATTAAAGATACTGGAAGGTTCACAAAATAGATAGTTAAGGTTTTATAAGGGTTAATTATTTATTCACTTTTTTTAATTAATTATTTAATTATTTATTTATTTATTTATTTTTCTCTGCAGTGCCACATCATAAATACAAATGTACTAATGAGTTTTATACAAAAGTGACATAAAATTACCAGAGTGATCGAAAGTACAGAGAGATTATAGTGTCAAGTTGACACTTCTAAAGACTAAAGACTAAAGACTTGTTCGTAGTCGGCGTTCTTGTAATAAATGTCATTTCATGGTGTCTAGCATCTCATACACACTGCTGGTGTTGTGATGTCTGTTGCACACATTGCCGCCCATCTCTGTACTTTTTCTAGTGATTTTATATTTTCGTTTGTAAATGGGTCCCATACAGTACAACAGTATTCTGTTGAAAGGCAATATTTCAGTCTCTATACAAAATATCTTCATTTTCCAGTGGAAGTCCAAATTTCCACCACCTTCATCACAAGCATTTCCTGTTGTATTTATTGTTAATATGCCAGCTTTAGCTGGCACTTATGGTAGAAGCATCGAATTGAAATAAAGAACGATAACTCTCTCTACATGATCAATCTAAAAAGTTTCGTCACTCTCGTTAAATCTCGTACGATTTATTTTTTTTTTTTTTCAAAGTTGATCAAGTCAAGTTATCTAACTCTTAAAAATATTCTTTTTCTTTTTTTTCCTTATATTTATTAAATAAATGTTGTATTCTTGCTTAGCTCCAAATATAAAAGTCAATTCTTCAAATAATGAAAACGAAATTAGCGTTGGAATATCAGTCAAGACATTGTCAGGACATTAGTTTAACCCTTATATTTTTAATGGCTGCCAGATTCTCGTTTAATCGCGATCTTGAAAAAACGGGACCAAACGGAATAAATTCGATGTTAAATACGACACGAATTTTTATTTGTTTACAAAAAAAAGAATTTAGAAATTTTGGTAACTTGTGTAGTTTATTTAAATTTTATTGTACCACGGAAATAACCGAAGTTTGGACAACAACATCTTATGTCATGTTTCATCGTCTGCTTCATCTTTCCATTATCAGTGACAAATTTCCTAAATAACCACAGGTACTTCATTTAAAAGTTACAATATCATAATTTATGATAACATGTGTAGTGTAAAAGTTCCGTCCAGCCATGGGAACACAGAAAAACCAACTGCAAGCAATAAATTTCGGGAGAAAGTCTCAGAAAGGTAGCCGGAGGTAGTAAAATCCGGTGCTTTGCCTCTGCCCTGGAAAGTCTGGTTGACCATGACTACTATTATTCATCTGCTACAGAATTTCCCATATCAAGTTACAGTGATAATGAAGTTGGTTATACTGTTGAATGTGATCACGGTTATTCATGTAGCTCACAGACAAATGCAGGTGAAATTCAAAACTTAACAAAAGTTTTAAACAAAAAAAAATATATTCAAATTCACTATCTGTAGACTGTACTTCCTTTGACAAATTCTCAACAAATCTTTTCATTAATTATGACACATATCTACCTTAAACAGTCCCAGGAGATGGAGACTGTTTTTTTTTTCACTCTCCAAGTTTAATCATAAAACAGCTGCAAAAGGAGACTTGAGTCTGAGTGATACATTTATAGGTACATGTATATTGTATGCACCCATATTGCCCAAAGTAGGATTTTATAGGAAGATGGAGTTATGATAACCCACATAGGCGGATCCAGGGGGGCCCGGGCTCCCCCTTTCGTGGGAAAAATTTGGTTGATTTTATAGGGAATCACTGAAGCATAACTGGAGCGGCCCCCCCCCCCTTATGAAAAGTTCTGGATCCGCCACTGACCCATGATAATACCATGACTTTAGATAGGTATAGAGGGTGTTACTTGGAAGAATGTTGGCTACATCCTTTGAAATTCAAGCTGCCGACACATTATTTGGATGCAATATAAATAATTATTATGCCTCCCACAGTCGCCTGTATATTTTATTCGTCAGTTTAAACCTGATCAAAAAATTTTCCCTCTACTGAATACTTAAATCAGGTGCACATTTCAACCTATTAAAGCAATAAACACTTATGGCTATAACGTCACAGTTCCCAAATTGCACTGAGTAGTGAGTACCCAAATTGCACCTATTCAACAAAAATAACTGCGGAAATCTTACAAGTTTTCTTTGAGACTAAACAATTTGTATTGTTATGATTTGACATTATACATGTCTTTCAACATCGGTTAATATATTTCCTCATTCCTGGGGAAAAGTAAATCTACGAAAAACGTCAGTGTTGTCACCATGCAAAGTTATCTAATTATCATCTTTTAAAAATGTAAGCAACTTCACAACTACAAGTTAATTTTCATGACCAAAATAAAATAAAGTACAAACAAAAAAGCAATAAAATGCTTTGCCAAGCACAGCCTTATACAGCCGCAGATGTAGATTTAGCATATAAAAAACACCTAAAATTTTATGTCAGTTGAAATCAAACATATTTTAATTTTGGACCCTTCAAACTTTAATATGGACTAATTTGAAAACAGGTATCAGGTGAGCTGAATATTTCTATTCAGCAGCAGTCTCCAACTACATATCTTCTTAATTTTATATGATAGTCCCACAAAAATGTTGAAAAATTATGTGTACATTTAATTTTTTTTCTAGATTCTCTCATGTCATACATGTGAAAGCGGTACCTTTTTGGTCACTATTTATGTGTTGCGTCTAAATATGAATTGTAACACTTTATAGTGACTGACCAGGTCAAACAAATACTTCTCAAGAAACATGCAGTGAAAGAAGACAACTTGGAACAGCACCAGCTATGCCAGACTATGTATGAATAAAAACTCAGATCGGAATAGCATGGACGATATGTCAGTTATATGTCCTTGTGAATAGTAAGGAAAGCTATCAATAATTCTGCAGATAATGCAATTTTATCAGGTTTATTGTACATTTTCTGTTCAAATTTTCACACAATTGATCAGTGAATCGTTCAAAAAGGCTAAACTAACTTTTTATTACTGAAATTTTCAAACAATGACAAGTGTTTCATTCAAGAAATAACTCGTGCATGAATTAAAGGGAAAGAAGATCCTTTTGCGGTGCACTCTTGCATGTCAATTGCGAACTGACCCAATATATTTTCTTTATCATGACCAGTTCACTGATACTGACGTCAACATTATCAAGAAGTACACATCAAGGGAAAAATGAACAATTTGACAAATTACCGATAAAATAATTTACACACCCTGTTTTGTGTGTATCTCCTGCCATATCAGTATTTGTTGCATTTATATATAAATGAGAAATAATCAATGTAAAAATGGTAAATTTTTGGGGAAAAAAAAAACAAAAATTATGGAAAAAACAACCCAAAAATGTTGTTTTTGACCACTGACTCCTAAACTGTTGGTACCATATGATAACCCCCAAAATCAATTCTAAACCTTCCTTTTGTGTATTGCAGTTGAACCTTTTGGTACAATTTCATACATTTTCATAGAGATCCATTTACTTAAACTAAAGTTATTGTCCGGAAACCAAATGTGTCTTCGGACAACAGCAGCGACATGATTGCATTACTCGAAAGCAAATTTTTGACATATTCCCCATTTCCATTCTGAATTTTATTTTGCCGTCGAAGGACCACCTCCGGGTGCGGGATTTTCTCGCTGCATTGAAGACCCATTGGTGGCCTTCGGCTGTTGTCTCTTTGACATATTCCCCATTTCCATTCTCAATTTTATTGAAAAGTAAGCTAATAAAACAAAATGCAAAAATGACATAAAACTGACTCTGAATTAGTACATGAAATTAATGTAGAAACCCACAAACAGAAGATGATCAGGAATACATTTATACTGCTCAGCAGTGTTCTCCCCTCAAATTTTAAATAGCATCCTAGAAAATAGCAAAATCTTTAGATTATCAACTTAACAATCCTAGTTATGGTTCCTTATGCTTGGATCAAAATGAAAAACCTGATCAAAACATTATTCTAAACAGGCTCACTGTAAATTCAAACTCTTCTTTTAACAATCAGAATGATCCTCTTGCTGATCACATATATATGAGATGCAGGAAACTGGGAATACAATGTGAACATCCAGCTAATTAAGAAAGTAAAAATAATCCAACAAACAGAAAGCGTTGTTTGCAATACTAAATAAAAAAAACAGCTACAACTTTTAGATATTGATGAAAAAGATATTCCAAATCCTCCACCTTTTCATGAAAATCAACAAAAAATTAATTTAATAAAGTTATGGATTGTATAACAGAGTATTCATAGTTTTGAAATTAAACAAATGTCTTATTGTTTTAAATTTTGTAAAATTTGCAAAGAAAGAAAAATGGATTTGAAAATGGCACAAGATAATGGATTTAAGCATTGTCATTTAGATAAATCACCAATAAATTTATTTTCAGCAGAAAACAATATGGACAATAAGGGTGAAGAGTTAACATTTTCCATCTGAACTTATTATTCTATTTTAGACAAAAACTATATGTAGGACATTCGTCCTGAACATGCATGAAATATTTGCCACTGGACGTTAAGGAAACCAACAATCAATCAATATGTAGGACATAGTCTTGGTAAGCTGGCATTCAAGGTAGCGCCTTCCTCATATTAATTTGTTCTTGTCCTGAACATGCATGAAATATTTGCAACTGGACGTTGAGCAACTAACCAAAACCTATATTCAGACTAATAGTCATGTAACATTACTAGCCAAACTAACATTGCTTTTGTTGAGGGGGAATCAATGATGTTCTACCTGTTAATATTCCTATACTCAGCACACTTGTTGTTAGTTTATCGCTCATTTTTATTTGACGATTTTCTTCCCGGTGTCAGTTTGGTTGAACTATAAATTACAAAACTAATGCGGAAAAATAATAATCCGTATCTAGCGAAAGAACAACGGACCCACGAAAATACGCAAACAAATTGTATGGTTTTAGGAATAAAGCAAATGAATTAATGCATTATGATTAAAGATAATTTGTCAATAAAAATAGAAATAATAGAATTCTTCGGCATTTTTATTGAAACATTAAAAAATATAAATCATCGGAAGTGGTATTTAACTTTACCAGATAGTCTAAACTTCGGAACGATATCGGATTTAAAAAAATACGCCCCCAAATTGATGTCTGCTAGAACAATATTGGAAATTGGAACCTCTCATGTCACATAGGGTTTTGTTATCAGTAATAATATCATAATTAACTTATTTATATGTAGATCTGAAAAACGAAAATGAACGATTCATTTCGTGTGAATCTATTTGCTGAAGCAAGGTCTGCATGTGATGTGTCTAGAAATTAGAATGTGAAATGGCAGAACCACAAGCAACAACAAAAGTGGTGATTGAACTGTCTGGGGAAAATGCCTCAGCTATAAAGGATTGTGATGTTCAGCAACAGCAAAGTAACGATCGTCAAATTACTGACAACCAAAAGAATGGTCCTGTAGTTCAAAATGGGCCAAAAGATACCTTAGAATTGCCACCTCCTATTGTGAGAGCACATTCAAAAGAATCCCTCAGATCACAGAGTAGCATAGATCAACAACTAAAAGAAGAGGTATGTTGTATAATAAGATAAAAATAATCACATTTTTTATTCAAATGATCAACATGACAGGTGCCAATTGTGGAGCAGGAACTGCTGATCTTTACAGAACACCTTTGTTTACCCCAGATTTTGATGAGCGTTGTGTTGCTCAATCTTAAATTGTTCTATGTGGTGCTTTGTGGCTTGTTATTTGTTTGACTGACTGAATTATTCTTATGGCCATGCATGCGCACATTATATGTAAAAATTGTCTACTTTCAAGAAAGCTTGCACCGTCTTTGAAAAGCAGTCAAGCTGAAGCAACTACCAATTTTAGGTAAAGTTTACCCACATTTGATGAAATAATTAAGGATATCTTCAACTCATAGTCATTGAAATAGTTAGCTGTGGGCTGTCATTGTTCTGACTAAATTGGAACAGGCACATAGCAAATGAATAGGTTCATGAGATGGGTTTATACAGATTTTACAACATACCTGGGGAAAAGTATGTGGTATTTATTTTCAAAATGAAAATGTTCTCATTTTAATAGACAATAAGTTAACTGTTCAAATATGATTATCAAATATGATCAGCAAAGATAAAGCTGCTTCAATTGGCCCATTTCAACACTTGACTGACCTATGAATATGTTTTTAGGTAGGGGCAACTTAACAAAAAGATTGTATTTTATAAGTTTTTTTAATATATTAATTACATGAATTGAAAATTGTAGCTTTAATTTTCTAGACACAAATGTGCATAATTGTAATGAATACTTTAAAAGATTACTCTCAATACAAATATGATGCATACACTGAATGGTGTAAACATGAAGTTGATTTTATTTCCAGGATTTGGTACTTGCCACAACATTAGTAATAGATGCTAAATCTGGTAGAAACTTTCAGTATAAAACAGATGCTAAGTATGTAAAGTAAGTATGTTGTTTTAAATAAAACTTATAATCTTATATAATTCATGAAGACTTCAACATCATATGGAAGAATAGAACATATCTTATAATTATTATTACAATTTATTAACAAATTAATTTACAAATATCTAATTGTAGGTCATATTTAATCTTTGAAAATAAAAACTGACCACCACGAAATAGACAATAGTCCTGAAAGTTGCATTTAACACCAATCAATCAATCAATTAAATTGACATTTATACTATAGGCCTTTATTAGAATAATTCTATGGAAGATGGTTTTAAAAATAAAATGTCCAACTTGTCTGACTTCTTCAAATTTTCAGAACAATTAAATTTTCTTTTTGCTTGTCCTCAACATGATTAGTGGTTCAGTTTATTGAAATATGCTAATGTATGGCAAACTAAAATTTCTTAACTGCAAATGCTTTTTTTTTGCATTTCTTGCCTGGTGTAAAACAGTTTATAATAATGATCTCCTGCTACTTAGAATACTTAAAATGAAAGAGACAACCATCAACATTCAGCAGGAAAACTGATATTCGTGTCAATTAAAATTTAGGACGAATGCACCTGCCACTTGCATGGTTTGAACTCAAAACTTTAGTGTTGAGAGGCTAGAGATACAGTACATTAGTAGTTGAACAATTTAGACCACTTGCCACCAAGGCCTCTCAATGTTATGAAGGAGAGTTGTTCTTATGTCCTTGTTTTCCATGATAACTTGGAATGATAAGACAGGAGCAGTTTGACCCGGCCGGCATTTATCTCCTGAGATAATGGCATATAAATACTTTAGAAATATCGATTTTTGAGGGATAAAAACTCCCTTGTGGTTTCCCTGAAATTAATTTTGTGGAATTTAATTTTTGTAGGTGAAAGAAATATTCCTATATGTTAATTTTTATGTTGGGTTTTATTTTCATTGATATAATATATATCAATATGGGAATAAACAAAATTAAAATTCCAATGAAAATTTGTATTATATAATAAAACAATTCCTAAGTTTTGATAAGATGGGTACAGAGTTTATTAACACAAAAAAAATAGAATTTTTCTTGTGTTATCAGGTCCTTGTATCTGAGTTATTAAAAGTCTTTAACTGTATAGAGTTGACCTTGCATGACCTCATGCTTGCTGGATATACAGTTCCAACCCTTGTTCACAGCTTAATCAATAGTTAGTGTTATGAAATCATAGTTTAAGCAATAAAACATAAAAGAAAATTGTTTCATGTATATAAAATTAATCACTTTCTTGGTGGATATAAGGGCTACTAAACCTATGAAAAATTTATACTAACCTCAGCATTTGGTCTATATAGTAATCCTTGTATTAACCTCATTAAAAAAATGTAATTGTATAATGTCATGCTTGATAATATTTAGCCTAAATTAACTTTTTACACAACACATAATTTTCTTTTTAAAGGTTTTATAATTTGTACCATTCTTGGATATTAAGATGGTTGTTATATCTGTTCATTGCCATAGATCTTGCCTTAGCCATGTTTGAGAAGCCTGCAAATCCTGACATGCTTTGGCCAATTGGGGTGAGTTTGATTTATATATATTTAATGTTTTTTTAAGGGGTATGCATAATCACCCAGTCCATTTGCCTGTCTGTCTATCTTCTGTCTGTCCATGTGCCTTGTCAGACCATCTCCCCGTAAACAGCTGGAATGAAATTGATGAAACTTTACACAGTTGTGCAACACTACCTAAAAATGTGCTTAAAGGAATATAATTTCAGTCCTACATGTACATGGTCTAAGGGAGATAATTAAGTTTATTTACTTTAATATTCTCAACGTATGGTGGTCTAGGGTATCCTTTGTAAGTTCATACACAGTTCTAGTTTATTTGGTTTTCCATGCCAAAAAGAAACACTTTTCCTCTAGATATATATATTTAATATATAGAAGTGTCACAATTGCAAATGAGGACTATTTTAAAAAGGGTTTGCAGCACTGACTTGTTAATTATAATCTTTACAATCTCTGAACTATTTCTATAGCATACATGGACCCAGCCCCTAGGTAAAGGGGGCATTTAGGATTATCCTTGTCTGTCTAGATTTGTACATATGTTCATCCCAAAATTGGTTTCCGTTCTCTACCTTTAGTTTGCCCTAACCAAATGTTATGAAACTTATACACAATGCTTATTACCTCCAAACACAAATCAAGTACAAATTTGGGTTGTGTCGCTTTCACCTTTCTTGAGTTATGTCCCTTTTTAAATGAAAAAATTGCTAAGTTTGCAATTTCCACACTCTAACTTTACTGTGCCTCAAGTCTTAACCAAGTGTTATGAAACTTACACACAATGCTTATAACTGTCTGACCCAGATCAAGTTCAAATTTAGGTAATGCCACTTTCACCGTACTCAAGTTATGTCCCTTTATTGACCTTCCAATATTTATAAGTTGACACAATCTTCTTTAATTTTGTAATTAAATGTAATTTTAACTACATTCAATTTAATTTTCATTTATTTCAGGCAACAATTAGCGTAGAAATTATTTGTCTACTCTTCTTCCTGTTTAGATTCTGTCATGCAGTGTATTTCAGTATACCAAGAATTTTTTGGCGGGATACTAAAAATATATTGATTTTAGCAATTATTGTTGTAAGTATAGTGTTGCAAACATATGCATTTTTAAAAAATATTTATATCTATTTAGCTGTTTTTCATTTATTTAAGAATAAATAATTGTTTATAGAATCATTGGTTTAGGCAAATAGCAAATCATTTATTATAATGTAAATTTTGTAAAAAAGAAAATAGATATCAAGTACTTGTATAAAGTCAACTGAGTTATACTGGAGTTCCCTTTTTGAATGAATACATAAATGCATGTACATTCAGTTTGAATGAAAAAAAATAGTATGTAGAGTAATAAATCATTAATGTTAAATCTTTATTCAACATGTGAAAAAAATATTTCAAAAGTTTGGTAATGATTTGATTTTTAAAGAAAATGATAAAAACAAAAAAACAAAAATAAACCCTGAAATACTTCTTTCAAAAATTAAATGTCCAACATAATGAACAATTTGTGAGAGGTTTATTGAAGAGTTTTAGATGGATGAGTTAGAGATGCTTGTTCATACTCTATTTGGAAAAATGGTGAAGTTCCCATTTGCTATTGGAAACCTATAAAGTTGTTCTCATACAGGAGGTGCCATTATGTACTGGACAGTCTCTGATAGTTTCATAGAAATCTACTTCTGGTTAAGGAGGTTCAGTAAATGTGAGATAAGGACAGACAAATGGACGGTACTATTTCCCACAGTTTTTACTAGTGTGTATAAGTACTTTCAGGTCTGGTAACTTTGTTTATCAGATAAATCCACTCACTTTATTGACTCAAATTGAACAAACGAAATTTTAACTTGAAACACTGACATACATTTCTTCAATTTTCAAAGGATGAATTTAGAAGTTATTTGGAAATTAAGATTCCGACTTTCTCAGGCAAAGCTGACCTAAAATTGTTTTGGCTATTCTAATTTATGTCATTTTAGGTCGTATAACTCCCTACTTATTAATAAACACTCAGCTTTCAAATTTTTGTTTTTGAGCATTCCAGATTAATGTAAATCCAGAAAAGTGCTTCAGATGCACAAAGTTGAAAAAGTGTTAATTAAATTTGAACAGATTAGATTACTGAATTGTGTTATTTACTTTTAAAATGTGTAACATTGTCTTATCTTGTGTTTTTCAGCTAACATTTTTGGACATGATATGTTTCCTAATTTGGGATAATGTGGCACATGAGACAAACCCTATTAGATGGTCTAGACCACTTCGTCCACTGTTTATCATCAATTTCTCAGATGGAAAACAGGTAAGTTTGTGTTTTCATCTATTTTCTACTCATCCCTAGCTGAAATATAATGTTGTAAGTGTAAAATAAAAAATCTAGAAATCTAAATGACCAAATCCTCTTTTTTTTTTTAGGTTTTGCATCTATTCAAATAACGTTTTTTCATTCAAATAGTCTTTTATCCATTAAAATATTCTTTCATCCATTTAAATATTCTTTCATCTATTCAGGCTAATATTTTGGTTAAAGTTGAAGTTTTAAAGTAGCTTCAGGGTAATATGATGTGTTAATGGCATTATTCAACCCCATTCATGAATAAATTAGATATCATCTGCACAAAATGCCTCAAATATGATGTCCTTTGCACAAATGTCTCAAATAGTTTGTCCTCTGCACAAAATGTGTTTGATTGGAATGTTTGCATGATCATGTTAGAAAAACTGTACAAGGGAAGATAGCTCAATAAGGGTACCATCATTGACAAATGGACAAAGAAAATCCATTGAAAATAGATATTCTTAAAATCACATTTTTTTAAAGAAAGGAAAGAGTAAATGTATTTTTTATGTTTCTTGAGGACTAGATGTATAATGCACCATATTGAAGTAATTATTCATCATGTCTCAATTTTCTTTTAAACTTCTTACAGAGTTTGCTATGAAAAAAAATTGAAATACATATTTACTTGGTACATATCTGGGACAAAATAATTTTTCAATCCACCATTTTTTTATTTCAGATAAGAAGAGCATTTCGTAATATAAGAAGAACTGTTCCAGAAATACTCAATATTTTAGTTCTATTTTTTCTTAGTATTGCTCTGTTTGCATTGCTGGCTTTGAAATTATTCAATAAACGGTAAGATATTCACAACTGTTTAACATGTTTAAAGCTAAATGCTTTAAAATGTCTGTGGTCCCTATGTATAAACAATCAGATCCATAAATCAAATTCTTAATTCTGCTATAGCACATGTGAAAAAACCTCAGACACAAGCATTTGTAGTTTAAAATACATACTAGCACACCTCAGATTGAGTTACATAGTGTAAATGATGTAAAATGGATGTCCATTCTGCTTCAGACACCATTATATGGCACAACGGACATAAACAGTGGCATTTTTAAGAAAATTTCCTTGAATGACATCATCTTTGACCTGTCAAAATAATTAAATACTATAAACCAACTAAATTTTGTGAGTAATTTATATATGCAACTTTTGGAAGAAGAGAAATAACGCGAATGTAAATCATGACAAATATGTAACCCTTGGGTCTTCTCTTATATAAATTATCAAGAAAATTTGATAACCGCAAAAATAAATTGCCGCAAAATCAGCTGAAAAGAGCTAAACCTGAATTTAAGTATCTGCGTAAATTGATTTTTGTTTACAGTATTCATTTTGCATTCAAAGAAAATGATTTCTCATTAATATTTTGTCTGTTTTTATTGGATATTATGGGCCTCATTAGCTGAGATGTCTTTGTATGTGGTTAACAGCTACCTATACAGATCACTTAGGCTAGTACAACTATAGTAAGGGTTACAGTCTAGTGCCTATCACTTACAAAAAAAAGTGAACTTGATCTTTTTGATTGAGATAAAGTTTTTTCATTGTCCCATTGTAGCTTGTTGGTTTACCCTGGGATATTTGTTGTTATCCACAAATAAAAATATTTCTTCAATCCATGAAAATTGGTATCCACGAAAAAATAATGAATCCACAATATCTAGTATTGAAGTTTTGAAATTCGAGTAGCACATATCAGTGCCAAACTTATCTTCAGAAGAATGAAATTAGAACAAGTTAACATACAAAAGTGTATCACAAATTATATTAAGTAACATGAATGTAATTCAATTTTATTTTTATTTTGATAAATGTATATTTTATGTTTTAGAAACCTTACATATCCAGATGGTAAACCTTATTTCAAAGACTTTTTTGAAAGTGTATGGGACCTTTATGTTTTAGTTACAACTGCCAATAACCCTGATGTCATGTAAGTACTTTAAACATAATTAAATATTCAAAACACAATCCAACCTTGTATTTAGGTATGTTTTATCATAATTACTACTTTAGACATGGTGATTTGCCACAAGATGCAGGGTTGCACCAATCTTAAATATTATTATTTGAATCATACTGTTATAGTTGAATTCTTTTAAAAGTTTTTTTTTAGGAATTATCTATAAACATACAGTAATTATAGGGTGGATGTACATAAGACAAAAACTCATGAAATAATTGGATATAATTCAATTCTGTGAATTCATTTTATGGTGGGACACCAATTTTTGTGGATTTCACAGGTATAAGTGAACCATGAACTTGAATGTTCAATGAAGTACACATTTTCAATAGGCTAATATGGAAACTTTGGCAACACCACGAAATAAAAAAATCATGAAAATACTGTTTTTCCTCCAACCACAAAAATTGGTAACCACGAAAATAAATGAATCCACGGTATAGCTAACAAACAGTGCTTTTATTGCTGTTTTCATCATAATAATACATCTAAAAGAATAAAGACTGTCCCTCACATCATCTGATACAGTCCTCTTTTGTTTAGGGGTAACCATTGCACTTTTACAAATGGGAGAGTAATCAGTCACTTTTTTGGCTAATGAACTGACTAATTAATACCTAAAGATAAATGTCTTTGCAATGTCTTCATTTCAGTGAGAAATAACGGGATATTGGTTCTATCAGCAAAATTTACATTATTTTAAGATATGATCTGGAGGATCAGCTCAGAATCATTTATTTAAATAAACAGAAAAGACTATGCAATCTAGTCAATATGGAGCTTCTCCTTTTTACATCGGGCGTAGGGTTACATGTGAGCTTGCTCACTCCAGTTCTTTAATTTTCAATAAAGTTGTGGTCACATCATTTTGAAACTAAGTACACATATTCAGTGTAATGTGAAGTTTTTACAAATAAATGCAAAGCATAGGCTCTTGTCATGAATTTTTTTTACCTGTATATCTTTATATAAATTTAGTTTCTAAAATTTTGTAACAAGAATGGTAGATTTTTGGCTGATTTTTTATTGTTGTTTTACTTGGCATCCTATAATTAGAGATTAGAATAGATAAATCCCATAAGGAGAACTCAGATAAAGTTTAGTCCAAAAGAACAAGTGCTTTCTGGGAAGATTTTTATAAAAGTTTGATCTCCTACATTGTCAAGTGATGGCATAAAAGACTAAAAAAAAATTTTCATTGACAAAATAAGTGTTGTCTGTTAAATTTTAAACCGTCAATATGAATTTCATAAAATGAGGACTGTGTTTGTTGACTAGATTAAATATTGCTTCATTGAAAAAAAAAAGATTGCACTGATCTCATTTGAATCAATTCTTTTTTTCAGGATGCCAGCATATGATGAGAGTAATTGGTTTGCATTTTTCTTCATTATTTACATTATTATTTGTTTATACATATTCATGAGCATAATTTTGGCTGCAATTTACTACAACTACAGGAATAATTTGAAAGTGAGTATTTATCATTTACCCTAATAGAAACATTTCAAATCTACTGTTCAATTTATAGTCATAACTATATTCAATTAAACTTACCAATTTGTACATTTCAAAATGCAGTTTTTGTCTCGCCTGCAACAAAAGTCGCAGAATGCGATATATAGGGATTACTTTCCAGTGGCAGCAGTGGCGTCAGTGTAAACTTTTTGTATTTAGCTTAATATTTAAGACAGTAGAAGTCCTGGAGGCTTCATACTTTGTATACAGATGCCTTATGTTATGTTATAGATGTCTGTCATATGTCTGTTTTCCTTGACCTGATTTTCATAGTTCAACGACTGCTTGAAAAAAAAGTTTAGTTTATTTGTCATGTGAATTTCTTACTCATTATGAGTAATAGGATAACTATATTTGGTATATGGGTTCCTTTCAAAGTCAACATGTCCTTCAGACAGGTTTCACCTGACCTTGACCTCATTTCATGGATCAGTGATCAAGGTTAAAAATATCTTGATTATGTCTGTTTTTAAGATACTATAAGCAATAGGTCAACTTTATATTTGTGTATGGAAAGATTTTATGGTGTACATGTCAGTCTGGCAGGTTTCATTTGACCTTGACCTCTTTTTCAAGGTTCATTAGTCGATGTTAAGTTTTTGTGTTTTGGTCTGTTTCTTATTCTATAAGCAATACATCAATTATATTTGGTATATGGAATGATTGTAAAGTGTACATGGCAGGTTTCATTTGTCCTTGACCTCGTTTTCATTGTTCATTGGTCAATATAAAGATTTCATGGTTTTGTCTGTTTCTTGTATACTTTAAGCAAAAGGTCAACTATTATCTATATTTGGTGTATGGAATGATTGTAAGGTGTACATGTATTTCTGGCTTGGTTTATCTGACCTTGACCTCATTTTCTTGGATCATGTTAAGTTTATGTGATACTTGTAGTAAAATTTATATTAAGGACTATCAACATGAAATCAATTGTGAGTAAAGCAGGCGAGACACTCTTGTGATTATTATTTGGTAATAAAAAAAATCAAGTTAAATCCATTCAGACTTCATTAGAGTTACACTGATTTATCTTTGAAAAATAAGGGTCAACAGCAGAAATTAAATTGTTTAGGGGTCAGCTGAAGGACGCCTCTGGGTGCGGGAGTTTCTCGCTGCATTGAAGACCCATTGGTGGTCTACGGCTGTTGTCTGCTCTATGGTCGGGTTGTTGTCTCTTTGACACATTCCCCATTTCCATTCTCAATTTTATTCATTTTCATTTCCTGCCAAATATGACAAATTTCATATGGTTTAGGTATAGAATCTCCAACTTGGAGATTTACAATATTTCTCTGCTCTTGATAGTAAAATTTAACTTCAACACGCCAACAAAGGGATAATTTGTATCTCATAAGTAATATAGAGGACCAAAACTGGTGAGGCTATGAATCATCAACAGGTGGTGTTAATTATGTGTGATGGCATTATCTACTTTTTATTTGGATAATTTGTATACTTCCTTATATTTTTTGGTCGTTCTTGTAACCAGTTCCGACTCAGCAATTTGAGTTTAATGAAAGGAAAACAACAGTTGATTCTCAAACTATCAGATATTTATTGAAAATGCAATTTTTTCTCTTTTTCTTTTTTGATCAGTCTTGAATGTCTGCCACACAAAATTTAAGAAAATCATTTAATTATGATTATTATTAATATAATTAGTAAAAAACAATTCTGATGACAGCTTACTGATTAGTAAAACCTAGTAAATTGGTGATTGATAATAAGTTCAAGTTTTATGACTTATATTTTGCTTTATATCAATGTTCATTGAATTTAGTGTGTTGGAAGGATTAAGTATTTTGCTTTATTTAGAATGAAATAAGAGCCTCTGTGTTTGGAAAAAGAAAGAAATTGAGTGAAGCATTTGAACTCCTGAAGGTTGACAGAGGTAGAAAGATGGTTGTTACTTATCTTACATGGTGCCAACTATTGAAAAAAGTAATACCAAAGAAAAGTCAGGCACACATAGACCTCTTGATGAAAATACTTGATACAGAAATGAACCATCAAATAGGTAAGTGACTTTTATGTAGGATAGAAATCTTAACTAACACTCAACAAGTCTAACCACTAAGAAATCACTATATTTTACAACTTTTATTAATTTACTTAAGGATGTATTCTTCTGACGTTTCAGTCTCGTTGAAATCTCGTTCTGGAATTATTTCCAAAACATGTGATACAAGTGGAAAATATCAATGAATTTAAAAAATATTGTGCTCAAACTGTGAAAAAATTGTGTATTTACAATAAGTAGTTTTTGAGTAATAAAATTTTCAAATTTTATAACCAATTAAATCAGTCTCATTAGCCAAAATGTTGAGAAAATGGGCGAGGGGTATAAGAAATTATTTTACCAGATACATGTTCATCCCATATCAATTTTTTCTTTTCAAATTTCTTAGATATGTATTTTTTCAATCACTTATAACAAAGAAGTTGAAATAATATGCTTTTAGTTCTAAAAAGAGAGAAAAATCCCAAATTTACAAAATTGACAACATGGTAAATTTGACAAGAAAAAGAAACAAAATACGTCATTTCTGGAATCATGTCTTTCACCGGAAAAGATTGCCAATTTTGCACGCCTTTATGACGTCATTTACCAGATAGAAGGTGCGCCTGTATCCCTGCTCTATTAAAAGTTTCCAGCACTTTAAGAATTGTCATTCTGAAGGGTAGTATAGAAATAATTTATGTTCCGTAAGTACATAATCTTGATTACGGTACGACTTAGGAAGAGTGACCATCTTATTAGATTTTAATTTCCCAAATATTTTGCGCAGTATAAAATCAATCTTTTCACCCGTTTGCTCAACATGTATTGGAAGTGACGATGCCTACAATTTGGTCACGTGGTGATGGAAGTCACATGACAGATTCAACTAAAAACTGTATCCCAGAACTGCCGTATTATATAAAACTTTCTTATATTAACACCTACCCAAAGTTTTTTTAAGTTACATTTATTCAGATTGGTCCACTTCATCTTTAGTGAAAGTATGAAAAAAAGTTTGATTGTGAAACTGTGATTTTTTTCATGATAATAGCCCAAAAATGGGTAAAAATTGATGAAAAATGGGGAAATCATCAAAATTGGGTACTTTCAATTGGCTGTAGCAAAAAAAGAAGTGCACCACCATATGTTTATTTCTTCACCAATTATATTTTTACAGTCATATAAACCCAAAAATCAGGTTAAGAAAAAAAGTTTAATTCTAGAAATATTTGGCTCCTCAGAGGTGTACATCTTTATTGAGCTTTTATTTTAGATCTGTCCTCTTTCTTAGCTTGTGCAGCAGTAAGAAAAGACAAATAGATATGCCACGTCCTGTCTTTGTTTTTATGCCCCATATATGGGCATTATGTTTTTCGGTCTGTGCGTTCATTTGTTCATTCATCCATTTTGACCCCAATTTCACGGTTTACTGAACATAGAAAACGATAGCGCGAGTGGGGCATCTGTATACTATGGACACATTCTTGTTGTTTGATATTTTTGTTTGTATCTATCTGATGAGTTATAGTTTGTTCTTATGTTTGTGCTGTTACACCAATGTCCCAGGTTAGGGGAGGGTTGAACGCTCACAAACATGTTTAACCCGGCCACATTCTTTATGTGCCTGTCCCAAGTCAGGAGCCTGCAGTTCAGTGGTTTTCGTTGGTTCATGTCTGTCATATTTGTTTTTCGTCAATTGTTTTGTTATAAATTAGGCCTTTAGATTTATCAATTAAATTGTTTCATATTTTTCATGTTGGGGCCTTTTATAGCAGACTATACAGTATGGGTTTTTCTCATTGTTGAAGGCCTATAATTGCTTACATCCACTTCATTTGAACTTTGGTGGATAGTTGTCTCATTGGCAATCATACCACGTGCATCTCCTTATTTTTATATAAACACAGACAGTGGGACTGTAAAACTATTCTGTCAATACTGATATACAGTTTAGGATTAAAAACATGTTATCTATATACTCTGAGTACTTTTGAGAAATCTTTAGGTAAAATTTATGAAGATTTTTAAGTTACATTCTAAAGACAAGACTTAAATCTGCTAATTTTAAAGTGCAGGTTTCTCACTAAGATGAGTCTGTGGGTCCTGGACTAATGAAAATCTGTCTGGACTCAGCATTTTAAGAACTGATGAGTCCAAAGATGCAAGGAAATCGAATCAATTGAATCAAGCTATCACAACTTAATAGTAAAAGTTTATAAGGAAGTCTAAATTTAATTTTATTTCCTTTCTGTATTTTGTATGGAGATTAAGGCATTGATATTTGTGTGAATCAACATAACCAAAAATGGTGACCCCTGATATCCTTAGTAAGAGCCCTGCAGTGACATAAACTTTTAAAGGTAGAAATCTATACAATCCATATCTTAGAAACAGATGGTCTGATGTTTCTGTCAGGGAGATGTACCTTGTCCTTGTCTAATGACTTCATTTTTTATGGTTCAGGGACTGAATCAAAATATTGTATTGGATTCTTGCTTAGTTGATATAATTTTCAGTAAATATGAGATCAGGTATAAGCTCAACTATATTAGGTCTATAAAATCATTTTTAAAAAAGAGGCAGAAGATACTAAGGGGACAATTAGAAATCATTAGTTGAAGAAAAACAGATAATACCATGGTCAAAAGAAAGCAAAGACAAACAGTCTACAATACACTACACAGAAAACTTATGATTGAGCAACACAATAGTAGTATTTTCTGGAGGTTCCAGTAGTAAAGTGGGAAAATATTGTATTGTTGTTACGCTTCTCATAAATATTCAGATGATTGAACAAAATTAACCAATCAAGAAGTTAAATTTTGTTTTACGATATACTTGGTGTTTTTCAAGTGCTCTCTTTCTAGCAGATGTTTAACACAGTAAGCTCCTTTTATAATTGCTAATTGCAATTAAACTTTTGATTTTCTATCTATATACATGTATGTATTTGCTGATTAATGGTGAGATCTTACATTGTTATCCTTAGATAGGCTTGAGCATTGACATCAGATATAGGTTTCCATTCATATTTAGATATATATAAGGATTTCATTGCTTTTACCTGGACGGCCTTGACTATCTATGATGGGTAAAATTCAGAGATATAAGCGATTAAACTGTATTGATATATACATTATACATATATGATATTTGTAATGTTTGTACTGCTGGACATTAATTGAAATACAATTATAGTTGGCGTCCATCACCTTCAACAGGCTTTCTGCTAATTTGCAATTGTGTTTTAGTTATTTAGCCATGGAGTATAGGTAATACTTAATAAAATTTTTGGGAAGTGGATCTTTATGTGATATTGGATTCACCTCACTTTGACATCATCTTTATTGTTCATTCATTAGTGCTACCTTTTTATGGTTTGGTTAACTTTTCAGTTGCTATGACTAATAAGTCAACTACAGCAATTCAGAACTTTTTGCAATTTATTATTATGGTGAAAATTGTGACAGGATAAGTGTCTCAAAAATAAAAACTCACACTTTTATTTTAAAAGTATTATTTGTATGCAGATTTTCTGAAATCAAAATAATTAAATTAGTATTTGTGTCTAATGTTGAACAATCATAATAAAAAAAAACATGCAATGATACAGAATCATTGTAAGATGAACACCTCTATCTGACAATGGTCGCCTGAGTTTGACCTCTTCTCTTTGGTAGTAAAATTTTAATTAAGTATTTGTATTTAATGTCATCAAAACAAATATAAACAACTAAAAGGAATGTTTATGAGATAGAATAAAATTTAAAGGAAAAGTAACATTTTCAGAAATATTCTTTATCTTTCAGTGAAAAAAGAATTCCTTAAACTAGCAGACCTCTTGCAACTTGAACTGACAGAGGTTACTGATAGAATGACATTTTTAGAGAAATATATTCCAACTATTTACAACTCAGCAATCAGTAGAGTACTGAAAAAAGTTGTAAGGCATAAGTATGTTATCAATTAGTTGTGGTTGATCTTTAAGTCTGCTTTTTTATGTCCAGTTTTTTGGTTAAAATAGTACATGAAGTTGTCACATCAACTTGAAACTTAGTGCAAATCTTCATTATGATGTGAATTTTTTAAATCATATACCAAATTACGGTTGTGACCCAAAATTCCTTGTTCACTGAACATAAAAAAGTGATAGTTTGAAACATGTACATTATGATATTAAAGTTTTTGGTTAAGTTTACCATGAAGTTGCGGGAGCATCAACTTAAATATAGTACACATATTCATTATGATGTGAACTTTTAAAATATGCTGTATTACTGTTTTGATATCAATTACGTGGACTGAACAAATAGATTTATAGTGCAAGTAGGGCATGGTGTCCTATGAACACATATTCTTGTTTATTTACTCATTATTTGACAGCAATTAAAATTTCAGAATGAACTTGTACTGTCTAAACAAATTATCAGTTAAACAGTCTTAAACTGTTTATCTTAATCAACATGTAGCATATAAACATGTATATGCAACACTCCTAAATAAGTCTTTTACTCTCTAAATGGTCTAGGTTTTCCCGTTGTGCTTATAGATGTTACTCAATGTCAATACATGCCTAGTTTCATGTGTGAAGCCAAAATGTGGTTATTTTCTTTGTCAAAACCTGTCCATTTTTATTTAATTCCATTTCAAAGGAATATTAAACATTTAAGTGTTAAAATAGTTTATTTTCAAATTACCTACCTTGTTTCCAACTTAGTATTTTTGGCCAAGCATGACAACTTCAAAGTTGGACAGACTGTATTCCCTGTCAATGCATCCTACATCTTCATGTGCTAAAGTTTTTAAGATTTTGTAACCCTCTTTTTATACGCCCGTTTGCGGGACATATTATGGTATATATTTGTCTGTCCGTCGTAAACACAATAACTCAAAAACACTTTCACTAACTTTAATGAAACTTTGGTGAATTGAATTCATCTATTGATGTGAGCTCCCTTTCGATTTTTATAAGCATAACTAATAGAGCCAGGAACCCCAATAAACAGCCCTGTAAAGGTGTTTTTTTAACTTCAATTATTAAAGTATATTTAATGTGTATGTATTGCTAAATGTATGATATTTGAAAGTATAATAAAAAAGTTGTATATCTGCTTTATATCTATAAAGATATTAGCCTAAAATAGGAAAAGATTTCATTTTCGACAATTTTTTCTAGAAATTTTCCTTTTTCCACGTTTTTTCATGATTTTATATGTGGTACCACCCCTTGTACATTGAAATTTTTGTGGAAAAGTAAAAAATAAGGTATATTAAATATATTTCAGGAAAAATAATTCACCTACAATATGATGTCACAAATATGTCACTAATGATGCAATTGGTGAAAAACTATTGAACATTTTAGCATATGTTTTCATCAAATTTTCACCTCATTTTCGCAGAAAAAAAAAATGAACCCCCTTTTTATTCAATAAATTTCTGATATGACATTGTGGAGTTATGGAACTTAACTGGTTGAAAGGTCATCGAAAACTGTCCATTTTTCACACTTTAGACGGTTATACGGTTATAGAATTATTTTTTTTAAATCGGGCCACAAACTTAGTTGAACTTTAGGTAGGATTGATAGTGCCAAATTATTCATGTTTTGTGTCAATGGGTACCACTGTGTGTGCATGTTGTTTTTTTTTTTTTGGGGGGGGGGGAGTATATTTGAGGAGTGTTCACAGTTAGTATTTCATAGTTGATCGTATAAATTCATTTGAATCATAAAGAGGAGCAAAAAAAGGTGACAGACGTATCATGCGCTTATGGCGCTGCTCTTTATTGATCTTATTTTTGTGATCTCTTTTTTTACCAAATAAGTGTGATGCATCTACAAAGTAAATTTTATTCCAAGATCCCCAATGATAGATTATTCTTGTGGAATATGCTTTGTATAGACAGGGATCCAATTTGTCCTACAGAAAAAAATAATTCCTTTTTCCAAAATTCGAAAATTGGAATCAAAGTCAATAACTTTAAAATTGACCATTGCTGAAAAGTGAAATTCAAAGGAATATATTTACCTTTGAAATCTGGATTAATATAAAAGCATTATCTAAGGTAAATAATAAAAGATGTCTGAATATTTTGTTATCATATACCATAATACATTTATTTTACAGAGTTTTTCGTTATTTCTTTGATTTCCTGATATTTGTGAATGCCTGGTTCATTGGATTTGATGTTGACAAAGCTGATTGGTTCTTCCTTGCCTTGTTTACTGTAGAAATTCTTCTCAAGCTGTACACATTTGGACCAAAAGAATTTTTTGTTAGATTTTGGAATTCGTAAGTATAAAAGTTTTCTTTCAATAAATTTTTTTCACCAAGTTTTATGCATCCATATGGAATAGACTTTTATTTCAGTGAAAACAATTTTCTATTGTTTTCAATTTCAATTGATTTTTCTTCCGTTTTATAAAAATTGATTTTTTTGAGAGTGCTAAATATCAATTAAGAGACAAATATGCACTTTTATAAAGCAAGAATCTTAAGAATGTTAGCTACTCTATTTCAAAATAAGCTTTTTAAAAGATTGTTATAAATTAATAGAATATATATATATATATACGAACTAAAAAAGCCGAAAAAAATGCAAGGTCCCTGTCCTTGTTTTTGAGATATTAGCCATTGAAAATTTGACAGGAAAAGATCCTCACTAGATTTTTCTTACAATTAACATTGGCTTCTTTTTTTCTTTCAATAACTATGAAAAAGTAACAAGGATTTTATTAGATTTTCAAAAACGGATTTTTAAATTATATTTAAAACAAATTATGAAAAGAAAAGTAGGGGTTAGCAGGCAATTTTTTTTAATGGCACCACAGTCATGGATGAAACCAGAGGATTCTAAATATCTTACAAAAAGTCAAAAACAAGACTGGCGACCATCCTTAACTAATCTGCCCTCCTACAAAAACTGGTTGTATAATTTAAAAAACACCTGAGATAAGAGAAACTAAGAAAGAAAAACTTGAAATGAAAGCATGGAGTTTTTTTTCACAACTAATTTACTGATTACTTTTCTTCTTTAGATTTGACTTTCTGGTGGTGTTTTCAGCTGTAATTGCCTCAGCTATAGAGGCTGCAGAGGGAGCATGTAAGTGCCTTCTGGAATTGAAATAAGCACACATTTATTTATTGGTTATTTTTTAATCTAATTTATTTTACCTTGACTAAAAGTCTTGATTAACAAAAATTTGCTGGTACAGAGTTTTGAGGTAGGAAAATAATTTTTAAAAATATATCTGTATTTGGGGAAAATCTGAAAAGTCAGGATTCATTAACATTAGTGAGATAATAATTTTCATGGATTTCATTTGTAGGGGACAACATATCTTTCAGTCATCTTGAACATGCATGAAATATTTGCCACTGGATATTAAGCAAACATTTATTAATCATATTTGTCAGGATGCTGTCTAATGAAACATGTGAATGTTTTTTGCAAGTTATTTTCTGAATTAGAGTGCTATTATTTTTTATGGCACTGCAAAAAGATGTCAGGGCCATATAGTTATCCTTATCCATCATTCTGTCATTCTGTCATTCCGTCATTCCTTAATGAACAGTTATGTGGACCTTTTTCCTAAACACCTTCACATATTGAGCTCATTTTTAGTATGTGAGTCTACAATGATGAATAACAGATCAAGTTTACATTTTGTTATGCTCCGCTGATTTTTGTCTAAATTAGGGGCTTTAAACTTTGAAAATTTCATGAAAAAAGCAGTTATAGACTTTTTTCTAAAAGCCTTCACATATTGAGCTGATTTTTAGTATGTGAGTCTACTATGATGAGTTACTGATTGAGTTAACATCTGGTTTCGCTCCACTGATTTGTGCTGAAATTACAGGCTTTGGTCCACTGATTTATACTGAAACAATGGGCTTTAAACTTTGAACATTTTGTGAAAATGACAGACTTTCATTCTCCCACTCCTAAAAATGGCTTAAGGTTTTTTTTTCGTGAGTGGGGCTATTGTGTCGTTCTGACACATCTAGTTTTTATTGCCTCAAATATTATTTTCAAGTTATGAAGTGTTTTTATTTATTATGAAGAATAGTAATTATAAGAGTAATCAAGCACTCTTTTGGAATTGTCATAGTTACCATTAAAAACTGACATATTATTATTATTTAAATTGCAGCAAGAGAAGAATTCAAAACATTAGATTTGCTGCTTGTGTTGAGAGTTCTCAGACTTGTGAAGATTTTTGGAAGCATACAAAGGTATTGAATTTAATTATTTTTTTATGCATAAAGTCTTAAAAGAGTTTTAACCATATTTTGAAAGCAATAACACTAGAAAAACAATCCTTCTACACTTATAGAATAACTAATTGAAGAATTCAAATAGAGAAAAATATTCAACGAGTGACCGAACAACACATTAATTCACGAATGCGCGTAGTGCATGAGTTAATTATCAGTGTTGTTCAGTCACGAGTTGAATATTTTTCGATATTTGAATTCTTTGATTAGTTATTCTTTTTATTACATTGGCAAATGGCTTTTTTTAATGAAATTAATTAACGCATTTACAATTTGTTTTGATCCGACGTTATCGACGTCTTGACAACGCCTATTGTTGTATGACGTCAGAGGAGTGAAATAACCACGTTTATTTCACATGTGAAATTATCGGTTTTTATTACAATGGGAAATCAATGTAATTCATTGCAACCAATGTAATTATACCTTTAATTGCACGTTAAATGTTAATTACTTAAATTTTTTTGCAGTGTGAGAATTTAATAAGGTTATTGAAAATTTTCATTTTGGTTTATAACTGTGAGTCAAGTACCAATAGATATGCAAATTGACAACAAAAACAATTCTACTTTATAAAACTTTACAAATTTTGAAAATTCTTTTGAGCATAGCTGCTGACCCTGTATCACTTGACAGAATTTTTTAAATCTTTGACAGAATCCTACTCACATAATGTACTTGAGCCCCTCCTATTTTATTTCATTTGTTTTTTGTTTTTTTTTTTTTTGGGGGGGGGGGGGGATGGGGGTTTACTTTGGCATGACATTGATTTTCATATATATTCACACGCTGCTGTACCATTTGTATCCACTTCTCTTCCTAGAACCTTAATCAGAATTTAATGAAGCTTTCTCAGAATCTTGACCATACAATTTCATTGTGTTTTATTGATTAAGAATTTCATTTTTAAAAGCTGAACATATATTTGGATTGGAGGATTTTTTCAGGAATCATACTCGCTTAATACTTATATGCCTTTAAAAGTAATAGTTGTTGAATACAACGCCTTTAAAGTTCTTTGTCTAATAGCATTGTTATATAGTTATTTTTGTATATAATGTGTAAGAAATGTTAATTTAGCAAAGAATTTGTGATTATGACTCTTTTAACTGGGGTTTCCAAAGGAAAAAGGCAGTTATTGAAATGATGAAGTACAGAGGTGTGGCCGTTGGGCAGCTGCCAGCGGTTTCCATACAATAACTTATGAACCATTCAACTAATGCTTTTCAAATTTGAATTTGTTGTTACTGATGACAAAATGGATGTCATGCATGTTTGATAAAGACAATTTAAACTTTTACTATACAGGACATATGCTCCTAAATAGATTGGAAAATAGGTTGAAAACATAGAATGTGCCAGGTCAAAGAAGCTTGAAAGTCCACATATTAGAATACATCAACTTCATTCATATTAGCTGCCCTCTTAAATTCAACAATCAGGGGCGTAGCTAGGTATCCAATAAACTGTAGGCACAAATTGCGGCAGGGGGTCTGGGGGCTGCTGAAGGCCCCCAGCAGGTCCAGGGCAGAGCCCTGGTAGGGGGTTCACGGGGGCCAAGCCCCCTGTCGGAAAACGGTTCTCAGCATTTTTGTTGCAAAATTTTGTGTACAAAAAAAATAAAATTTACTGGTAATTTTATCATAATATACATGAAGAAAAAATCAAAGAATTATAAATAATTTTACGATAACATCTGACTGATGAATTTACGCAGTACAATCGGAAATCTAAAAAAAAAGCGTAGATCAGGGTAGCCCTTTAATTGAGCAGTACATCCTGTTTAGTATTTTCATATCTATTCTTTTCTGATTGAGGATAATTGATATACATATACGTCAATTGATAGTGCATTTTGACGATCCTTCACTGAACAGGCACGTAAACACTGAGACTTCTATATAATAATACTATCCTTTGAGATAGGCATTGCCCATTCATCTTTTGATTCTTAAACCTTCACTCTCCCCGGCCACACAAACACATAAGGTGACACACACAGTCGATGCCTAATGAAGCCAGAAGTTCGGTTCTGTTCATACTATCTACCAAAATTCAAGAAATTCATATTTTCTGATATCCTGTACGGTAAAATTCCTACCTAAGGAATTTGAATAATTATGGTCATTACACATTGATCTGAGAGTAGTCGAAGTTACTGAAAGCTAGCCGATTGATTAATTGATTGCTAAACATCCAGTGGCAAATAGTTCATGCATGTTCAGGACAAAAACAAATTTACAATTAATACAACAGATAGGTCCTGTTATAGGGGTCATCCAGGATGAAGGTCTGGAAATTTGGAAATGCCATTGGAAAATGAGGGTTTATTGGATAGGGACAGAAATTTTACCTTTCAGCAGACCACCTACGGAACCCCTCAATGAGTTGTTGCAAGTGTTTTTAACATGCAGAGAGCGTGGCATTCTTTCTACGCTAGGCATCGGATTTAACGTCCCCAATCTGTTCAGATGTGATTGCGTATTTAATAATACAGCCAAACAGACACCCCACTTGGCAAGGGTTTTATTGTAGGTCGGATGAAGACCAAGTGGAAAGCTAGTTGAAAGCCAACATTTACTAATAAAAAAAAATCATGCATCTAAAAATAAAATGTCAGGGTTATGATTATGTTGAGGTTCATTCATGTATTTGTTGATAGAAGTGATATGATCTGAACCAAAGTTCTAATATAATGTACATACAATTCTATCCAATACTCCATTCACTAAGGATGATAGACTAGTGTACAAATGACATTTGATAACTAAAAAGTTTTGGCGACTTCACATGCATCTACAGATAACGTTGTCATTATTTTTTTTTAATAAAAAAAAATATTTGTGAAAAAATTATGTGTAGGCACATGCCTATAGTGCCTAACGGCAGCTACGCCCCTGGCAATGGTTACCTTCAAAATACAGAATTTGACAGCTCATTTCTTTTTATATCTTCTTGAAAGTTTGCATAATGTTGCTAGTTGATGATATAATTCTTAAATTTCAGGTTTAAAGTTGTATTGCAGACTATTATAAACATTGGACCATCTATATTTACCTATGGTGGTGTCATATTTGTAAGTAGAAATAAAATCAAATTGTTTCAATTATTATTATATGGAAATTATATAGGCTCTATATATGGAGTCACAATCTACCATTGCATCTATAATTCACTGATACAAAGCAATATTGTATTGTTTAGCTAAACAGTTGAGAAATATTGTATGTTTATAGAATAACTATTGTTTGTTATTTCCTACAAATTCTAAAACAAAGCATACAGCTTATTTCATAGAATACAATTTTGATTTTAGATTATTATTATCTTATTTTGTGAGATTCCTAAAGAAAAAGCTTTTTGCATCCATTTAATCAAACCTCCTGCACCAAAGACCCTTTTCTGTATTGAATCCATCATGCACTGTGTCTGGACCCAGGTACACCTGCTGTTAAATTTAATTTTTGCTTTTTTTTTTGTTTTGAGAATATTGCTTCAAAAAGTTCATGAAAAAAAAAAGTGTTTGGAAACATAATAATAATTTCTAGATCTCTAGTCAGTTGGGATATGAAGATACTGACAGTCAAATTATCAAATGTCTTAACATAGTTAGATAATAAATATAAAAGCTACTAAATGACAATTCAATACTAGACCAAAGATATGATTTTTCTTTCTTACAGGTATTTTACTATATCTTTGCCATCATTGGGATGGAAATATTTAGTGACAAGTTTGATTATTATGGATATGAGACCAATGTAACAGATGAGAGCCATTTCTGTGGTAATCCTAAACTGAATGGTACAGCTTTCTTCAAGTTTCAGTACTGTAATAACAACTTCAATGATTTCTTAAAGTCTCTAGTCATTTTGTTTGAGCTTACTGTTGTCAATCAGTGGCATGATATCCTTTCTAATAATTCTTGTTTTTACTGTTTTGCACTTTGCTTCTCACTGAAATTGAACTACAAACAAAACATTTTCATTTTATTTACATTTAATTTGCTTTGAAATGTTTTGCATTAAATTAATTTGAGTTGAAATGTTTTGCATACCGGTACATGTTATGGCATAAAAGAATATTTTACATTACATTTGAGTCAAATTAAATTTGAGGAGTCTTGTAAAGTTAAAATAATATCACTAACAAAAAACATACTGTAAAATCAGAAATTTCTGAGAATTTTTATTATTGCAAATTTGAAATGGGAAAGGTTTTGCAAAAACAAAAACTTGCATTTTAAAGTTTTACTGCATTATTTAAAAGCAGTATTAACTGACAATCGCAATAATTAATATTGCATTTTTGTCCAATGCTTAACAATTGAATTAATAAAATGCATGTAAAAATTTCTAAATTTACAGTAATCAGTTTCAGTGATTTGATGTTATGTTGTATTTTTTGTTTTATGGATATTTCATTTTTTCTTACCACATGCTGTCAACCAATGAAAATACAAAATGAATTACTGACCCCCTAAGAATTAGGGCATTATACATGAGGCTGTTGTTTTTTCAGCTTATTTTGAAATTTCAAAGTTGGCAAAACAACCAAATAGGAAAAGTTTATGTTTTATTATGTAAGTCAAACTACTTTACAGATATTTGAAAGTAATATAAATTAAAGATTTTATTATAATTAATGTACAAATGAAGTGGATTATTTAATCAAGTCCCAGTTAAATACCTCAACCTGAGTGTTACTCCAAACATTTGTTATAATTTTTCATTTATAAATGCTGTTTAAACTAAACTAAACATTTATTGGTTGAGAGGATGAATGCTTTGTTTTATCATTTACTTTTTGCACTTTTTCAAATAACAAGGTCCAATTAAGCCTAGAATTGATAAAACTATATTTTTAGCCTATTAAAGGCTTAAATGCGTCTTGTCTGTTTGAAGTTATCTTTTTCAATGCATAACTTTTTACAGCCTTGTAAATCATTTAACTTTTACATAGAGGTTGTTTTAATTTTAATATGCTCAATCTAGGTTAGTTTGCTTAGGTTAAAATTATTTGAATGCAAAGTTATTGCTTGAAAGTTGAATTTTGCAGAAATGATATACAATGTACTTTATATGATGCCTTTGACATTGATTTAGTTTATTTTCTGACTTAAAATTATGCTTTTTGTTATAGCATAGCTAATATTATGCTTAGATTTAAACATTTACATCTACAAGCTTGCAACCAAGGCATGGCACTGATTTTGGTGTTGCTCTATTTTGAAATTTAGATAAAACTGTAATGAAAGTAAAATTTAGATCAAGTTAAAGTTTTCATCTTATGTTGTATCTTATTTTTTTATCACAAACTGCAAAGTGAGACAAAGGAGAAGGTTTGATAAGGCTCTTGAATTACAAAATCATAAAATCTAATAAATCTACAAAGTAACAGCCTACAGATATTCATAAGGCATTAGTTTGTCAGACATAAGTATTTATATTTTAGAATTTAGTCTTACCTATTGGCATAAGGATATCAAACTTCTTACATTAGGACAAAACAGCAAAATCTGCCAAAATAGCCTCATTTTGAGATCTTGTCATTCATATTTACATATGAGCAACAGCTTTATTTCAAAAAAATATTTTACTACAAAATGTATTTAATAAGAACGTTAATGTTTATAAAATATATTTTTTTTGGAAAATCTGTTGCTCATGTATATTTTGACCAAAAACTATGCAAGACATGGCCATTTTAGGTTAAATAAGTAAATCAAATTTCTACATGTTTATGGCATCAAAGAAACATAATAAGTGACCTTTCTGCACTTAAATTTTGCATTTGTTTTACATTCAGAAAAATGTAGATTTCACCAATATGCGGAACTTTAGTAATAATATTTGCTAAATCTTTATTTGAATGCAGTGTTGTTAGTCAGTAAATATTTGAAAATAATACATGGTCTATTTGCCAATTTTGTAACTGACCCTGTTATTAAATATCCATTTAGTTAGTTACTTCCCTTAGATCGGTCATAAGTTTTCATTTACAATGAAAACATTTATTTTCTGTTTTCATTTACAATTACAACCCACTAGCTCTTCATATTAGTGGTTTGACCAAATTTATCTGTGCATTTTGTATGTCAGCTTCTTCAAATCTTTTCATTTTCTTTGATCCTTTGTAAAGCTAAAAACTTTTAATATCAATATTTTTCTTAACAAAAATTGGTTAAAATGCCGGCTTATTATTCTTTGCATGGGCAGCAGTAAATTTTGTCCGGTAAAGAACGAGGCTACAGTTGGCAAAGGGAACAACCCATGTTAATAGTGTAGTTATAGAATGAATCGGTAATTGGCAAATAGACTATGGCATGTAATAATTTTTATTTTATGTGTTTAATTGCTTTAGCATAATTGATTATTTCATTTCAACTGTACTCAACAAAACAACCATGAAAACTATAAAAAATTGTTTGGTTTCTTAGATTTACTTTCATAAATAAATATTTCCTTGGGCATGTGATTCTGTCTTTAGTAAAGATGTATGATTGCTGTGCCTATTTTCAAAATTATTTCTGATGTTGTCGAGGTAATTAACAAACATGGTTTGTAAAAATATGAAATTTAGGGGGTAAAAATCCATTGAAAATTCCTGATAAAGTCTAAACTAGGGATTATAGCTACAAATTTTTAAGAGATAGTACATTGATGATCCCCTTTCAGAATTAAATTTATTGATCTTACCCACAATTAAAGATGGCCACCATTGCTACTAAATAAGAAAACTGGGCACAAATCTTGACAAAATCTGAAAAATCCTTTAAAGATCAAAGGAGTAGGGGCATTAAGGCCCGGTTTTGGCCCAAGAAAATAAAATATTTTTCAACTATTTCAGATTTGCATTTACAGTTTGGAAATGCATAGAGTCAGGAAATATAAATGAAAAACATAAGATTTTTTATCTGATGACGTCACAATTACGTCATAATATGTACCATTTCATGAAAACGATGAAGAAATAACAAAATAATTTAAGAGAAGCTTTATTATAACTATTGACATAATCTCACCAAATATAAAGTTGTTTCTTGTATGCCCACAGACTTTGCCAATCTAAAATATACTTAAAATTTGATGAAAAACAAGGAAAATCAAGAAATTTTACAAAATATACAAATTTTGTCATGGTTTGTTGCCTTGGTAACTTGTTAAACGTGAAATTTCTTTTTATTTTCTGAATACATGGTACCTTAGTCTAGTTATGGCAAATTTAAGAATATGTATGATAACTTTTAAATTTGTAGTAATATTTGGGCCAAATAAGGGCCTTATTGCCCCTACTTCTTTATATCGAACTTTAGTTAAATGATATATTTATGATGCTCTTTCAAAATTTATAAATGATGACCTCATTCCCTATCAAATAATGCTGCCATTATTACTAAAGCTAGAAATTCTATGACTTTGCAGACTTTTCATTAATGAACCATATGACACAACCAGCACTACCACTTGATACACCAAATTTGACATAATATTCAATGAAAAGTTCAGAAATTGTTTATAAAGGACCAATTGCTACCAATTATTGCAAATTGGTACATTTATGTTTATTTCAATATAGTTGTGTTTTTTGGAAAGAAGACCAAAATATTTTCTCCTCTGAAATAATTAAGTCATTTCAAAGCAAAATTAAATCATTACATGTGTGTGGTATCCATACTATATCCAAATTCTTAGCCTGCCTAAGAACATAGTAATTATACAGTGCAGCTACAAACTGTGTGTAATCGGTGATAGGTGAGGAATATAGGTTCCTTGTTTTGAAGTAATATTCAATGTCATAATCTTATTTAAAGAAATTATTCAACTATTTTATTTGAGATATAGGATCTTTTTCATGTTGAGCATTCTTTACAGAAGTTTGTTCAATAACATCTTTGTTGAGTATAGTAATGATTTAATTAATTTTTTTGTCACATCCTGGGCAATTTTTAAACAAGTGGTGTCTTATATGAAGATTTTGTTAAAAGATGTAATTCACTCTTTTTGGTTTTCTTTTATGATTATATTTATAAAAATTGATTTAACATTTTCTTGCATTTGTATTAAATTTTGCCAAGGACATAACTATTTGCATTTCACGCTCTCAAGCCAAATAAACTAGATTGTAGATCATATTCAAGAAGGAAAAAAAGATTGACAAATGTTTTACTTTGTTTTTCACTTTTCTAAGAATTGTCCTGATTATTAATCTCCTTTTTAGACTTTATTTAGACAGTTATATCCTGGTGTCTTCTCTTAGAACTATATACCTTTTAAGATGTTTTTATTTATTGCTGAAAATTTAAGAGTTGGCCATTTTTAAGTTGTAACAGAAATGGTTACTTGTGGCAGATTTAGGATTTACAATTGAAATGGAAGCATTACCAAGAAAACACTGATTTCATTGAAAAAAAAAATTTTCATTACATTTTGTATTTTATTTATCCTTCTTAATTAATTCTTGAGTCTACTATCTATGCTTATTTGGCTTTACTGTGGATTCATTTATTTTCATGGCTACCAATTTTCATGGATTCAGGACAACTGATATTTACATGGATATTTGATTCCGCGGATTTGTCTAGGACCCCATTCACACTTGGACATTAAGATCGATTTAAACCAAATCTGTTCACTTTAGATCGATTTAAGCCCAATGTGAACGCATTGAATGGTTCTTTAATCGGCCTAAACTAAAACACCAAAGAGGTAGTTTAGTTTGAATCGATCTAAAGTGAACCGATCTAATGTTAAATGTGAACACAGAGATCGATCTGAACTAGTACGATTGAATCGAAAATAGTTTTTGCGCATGAATGGTAGCAAAATTACACATGCAATTTATTACAAAATGAATGACCAACATAAAAGGGTTGAAAATTAACGAAAACTATACGAACAGCGGTATCAACAATTGAACTTATAATTCGAATGAAACAATAACGTCATCCATTATTTTTGTACAAGCGTGTGTATCAACACATTAATTTGATAAGATATTTCTATTTATACACAGTGTTTACAATTTCACGGGTAATTAGGTCATTTCAATGGTATTTTGAATTGTAGTGTGAACGCAGTGGTTCAGATCAGAACGATAGAGATCTTTAGGATTAAAGATAATGTGAACACTAACTGGTTTTATTTAGACCGATTCAAAAAATGCTAGTGTGAACGGGGTCTAAGTCTGTATGTATACATGCCTTGAGAAAATATGAACTTTGTAGAACATTAAAATTTGCGGTTTATCTTTACCCACGATATCCACGAAAATTGGTATCCATCTGAAAATAATGAATCCACAGTATATTTATTTTATGTTCTGTTCTGTTTTTGATGTTTTTCTAACACTATCTAGTTTTTGAAGCCTTAACTCTAGCCACTGATTGCATCTGGTTTTGTGGCTGTCACCAGTAAGGCTGCTAGACTCTACTTCTTTATGTTTCATTTAACCTGTGTTGTTATTGTTCTCAAGTAAGTTCAACTTTTATTTTATTTCACTTTATATTATTTCACTTTTTGTTTTGCATTAACGTCTGCTTCTGTTAAATACTAATCTGAAAGTCCCACCAATTTAATTTTAAGTTTAGTAGATTTAGAGAGAGAAAAAGCAGTGCAAATGAACAAAATATGTAATTTTTATCCCTGATAAAATTTTAAAAAGAATAAAATGGCTTCATTTGATTTCTGATTTTAATTTTAAAAGAATATTAACTATTCAACTGTCTTCAAAATCAAATTGAACTTAAATATGACAGAAGACAGTTTTTTTTATTTTATTTATTTTCACATGAAAGACTTCTTGGAAAATTAGGCATTGAATGAAAGTTGGTGCCTGTTAAAACATTTAAACCTGCTGCACCCGCTGCATTTTTATGCACCTGTCCTAAGTCAGGAGCCTGTTGTTCAGTGGTTGTCGTTTGTTGGTGTGGTTCACAAGTGTTTCTTGTTTCTCGTTTTTTTATATAGATTAGGCTGTTGGTTTTCCTGTTTGAATTGTTTTACACTAGTCTTTTTTGGGGCCCTTTATAGCTTGCTGTTCGGTGTGAGCCAAGGCTCCGTGTTGAAGGCCGTACTTTGACCTATAATTGTTTACTTTTTATACATTGTGACTTGGATGGATAGTTGTCTCATTGGCACTCATACCACATCTTCTTATTTATATTTGTTTGCAGGTGACATTTTAAATAAAAGAAGGGGATGGTTAGTTTGGTCTGTTGTGTAATATTTATGATAAATCACTTTGACCTATAATTGTTTACTTTTTATACATTGTGACTTGGATGGATAGTTGTCTCATTGGCACTCATACCACATCTTCTTATTTATATTTGTTTGCAGGTGACATTTTAAATAAAAGAAGGGGATGGTTAGTTTGGTCTGTTGTGTAATATTTATGATAAATCACTTTGACCTATAATTGTTTACTTTTTATACATTGTGACTTGGATGGATAGTTGTCTCATTGGCACTCATACCACATCTTCTTATTTATATTTGTTTGCAGGTGACATTTTAAATAAAAGAAGGGGATGGTTAGTTTGGTCTGTTGTGTAATATTTATGATAAATCATGTTATTCTTTTTATGTACTATTTATCTTCAAAATAGTGTGGACAAATCCTGAAAAGTAAAAGTAAAAGTAAATTTGATATGGTTAAGGAAGCATGTATATCACAAGAGTTCATGCTTAGCAAAGCACAGCACACAATGTAATACTATCAAGAGAACACTAAGATAACATGGATAGTGTTCTGTGATAAGATAAGAGTTCCCTACTTATACATCAAAGGTCAATGTTTTAAACTGGATGTTCCAGTTTTCTCTGTTAGGAAAAATGTAATGCAACAATTGGCAACAAAAGGACATGAAGATTTTTTTCTAATTCAGCATTTCCAGCTCTAAATTTGAAAGATGTCAGTTTTTAAAAATCAGTTATGTGTATAATTTCATATTCGTGAAATTGTGATAAGAAACTTAGATTTAATATCTATACCTATACAAAATCAAGTTATATATGCTTTTCACCATAAATTAGAACTGACTTTGTTTTTTATTTTGTAGTATTTTCATTGCATTCATCTTGGAAGCATTCATTTTGGAGTATACTATAGATAAATCTGGAAGACTGGAATCTTGTGTAGAAAGTAAAATAAAAGAGCTAGGACTAGGCATTGGACAGTAAGTATACAGTCATGAAATAAAAAGTAGTTATAATTATTCATTAATTTGATGAGAAAAAGGGGGTTGGATTTTTCAAATAACAGCAAGCAACGAACCTTATAAGGAGTAGCATTGAACTTTGATAACTAATTAAGGAAAATACATTTGCAGTGTAGGTGAAAAAGCTTAGATGTTAACTTCACTGAAAGCAAGGAATTATTTGAATTTTGAATAATTTTGAATCTTGAAAATTTTTAAGAAATGTATGATGAAACAAACCCAATTAAGGATAGTTAGCATGCATGGCTAAGGGTGCTAGTTAGTTCATACTGAAATATCAGTAATAGTAACATGAACCTTAGCCATGCATTCATTGCTAACCCTCTTTAGTTTTGTTAGTTTTCATCATACATTCCTTATCAATTTTCCAGAATTAGCTTTTTCTGAATCTAATTCTAGGTAAATTTTCAAAAGGGTACACCAAAATGCTGTGATTGGCTAACAACGTCCCGAACAATAGAAATATGACAAATGATGTGACAATGTTTTCATTTTGGGGTACGAACAATGAAATTACCCACAGTGTTTTAGATTTTGAAATCTAGAATTAAAAATTATTCCAGATTCAAATAATTCCTTGTTTGAAGTAATTTTAAAATGTAATATGAAAGTAAAGAAAAAGTGTTTGATGATAGTCTGATAAAAAGGGCTGTAACTTCAAAATCTAATTCTTTGTAAAAATAGAGATAGCTGAAACCAGTTTAATAGCATAAGGCTTCTTTGAGTTCTTTATAATGTAAAATAACTGTTACATTGATTTTACTTTTAGGGGTACCAGAAAGACAAACACCCAGGAGCTACAGAAGGATGATACAGAACTGGTTCCAAATGAGCAATTACCAGAACCCTCTCTAGACATTGATGCTGAATCAGACACAGACAGTATACCAGATTTATCAGTAGAAACTGGGTTAAAGTTCCATTTGAAAAAGAAAAGTAAGGCCATCTTATCAAAGAAATGAGCTCTCTGTCCAATTTGAAAATAAATTTTATGGCTGTTTTCTGCTCTTTGGTCAGGTTGTTGTCTCTTTGACACATTCCCCATTTCCATTCTCAATTTACGGTAATGATGCGGCAGAGAGGTATCACTTTTTTAAGACCAGCTGGCATAACACTAGCTGGGCTCATATGGTCCTTGGGATATTTTTTGTCTGCAAATTGTCAAAAACTATAAGAACCATAAGAGCTATGATTCCTCAGCTAGAATGACACCAGCAATGTATTGGCACTGCTCAATCACGTTTGAAATAAAGGGTTGAAGAACTTTATATATTGACAAAATGTGTCATTGAGAAAAATGTAAATTTCAATATGCAACTAATATCATAACCAGTCAAGACACATTCTTCATTTTTCAAACAAAACAGTTGATTCTGTATGTATCTTGAAATTTTTCAGAACCTGATAAAATATTTCTGTCTTAATATAATTGTAAATGTATAATTTGATTCAAGAGATTATTTCTGGAACATAGTCGATTGTTATTTACTGTAACATTGAAGTGTTAAAATATAGCATTTATTCAAGAAAAGTAAATGCAAACAAACGATGAAGAAGTTTATTGAAAAGGTACCTGCTGTATATAGTGTGAAATAAATCTTGACAGGATTGCTTTAAATTTGTTAAAATTAATCATTTATGGGTGTTCTGACTTTATGAACGAATAGATATGTATTAAATTTCTTTGTTGGAAGTATGCAGGCAAGGGTTAAGAGGCAAGATAAATGATTTGCCTAAAAAACTAATTTTCAATGATACTGCTTTTATTAAATTTCATCATATAATTTTCTTTAAAGATGAGAAGGCTGCAAAAAAAGTTGAATTACATGCTGCAAAAGAACTGCACCTGTTAAAACATGTTTGATTTAGCATGGAGGTGGGAATTAATAACAAAAAAATAATAGTCATACTACATGCTTCATTTGGAAAATTCCTATTCAGATTAATCATAGTTTTCTATGGTATCCTGAAAAAAGTCATTTGATATATTCAATTTCTCAAACACATATAAAGAGAGGGTTTTATGTTATTCATTAATACATTATTTTGGTCCAGTGATTTTTTTATTGTATTGATTGGTATACGGATATATATTTGTAGGTCGAAAGAAGGTGGAGGTATTACTTCAGCAGATGTTTGAAGGAGAAATAGACCCAGAAGATGATGGCCAGTATTTTGACGAAGATGAAGTTAAAGTTGTACCAAGAAAATTAACCTTAGATACTGTTTCATAATATTGTGCAGTTTGTTTTCTTTTTTTTCTCTAGGGGTTCTGTAAGTGTTTGAATTGCATTGTTTATCTAGCAATGACATGTATGCCATACTTGAAACAAAGTTGCTGAAACCATGATTTTGTAGTTTTATCTTCAATGAAATTTTATGACATTGTTTTCATATAACTTCATAATAGTTTGCTATTACATTATTATTGGTATCAACTGATAAATTTCATAACTATTTTAACCAATGTTTACGGACTTTCATGAATAAAATTTTGCACACTTAAAGAGCCCTAAGTGTATGTACCTGCAACTTGGTCTGTCATGTCTCATTTTTATTTTTCCAAGTAACAAAAAGTGAAAGAAAGATTGAAATACAGAGCTGGTGTTTCCAGGATGAGAATACTTTGGTCCAAAGTTTTTAAAATGACCAGATTTAGGTCTGGAAAATTTCATATACACAGTTAAGGTTCAGTCGATACTGTTTACAATTTTTTCAATTATTTAAGACTATTTTTTAGATTCATCTCCTAAAATTGCAGGTACCAAAGAGGGTGTTTGATGTTTTAGTATACAAGCATTGAAAAACAATTCAAAATTTTGTCCTATCATTTACAAAGCTGGAGGATCTGATACTTGAAGTATCAATATAACATATTATGAAAAATGATTTCAAATTCTGTGGGTGTTTTTACAAATAATTGTAAATATGATAATATTCATTCATAATTTATGAACAGTCAGTATAAATTACAATCAATTTATACTTGTAAGATTGATGTGAAAAGAGCATCTGAAATTTTCAGTAATTGTGATTAGCAATACCCCGGTACTTTAACTTGTGCTACAAGATAAACTATATTGTAAGTTAGGGCATATCAAATTGCAAATACTACATTGGTTTTTTTTTTTAATATCAGAAATTAATCACTTAAAATAACTACTGTCAGTTCTTGTAAGAAAAGTTTTGGGATTATACAAATCTTATGTCAGAAAACATTAAATGTGGATTATACTCCAATAGTGGGAGATCAAGTCACACTAATATATTCATGAAATATTGGGCATTTTATATCAAATGTACATATATTAATTTATAACAGGTCTTTTGGACTTTTAATGTGATAACAGGATTGATGACAGATGTCTCTGTATATATTTGAACAGTCTTCCTTATTAATTTTCAAGAGTAGTTAATGGGTCCAAACTAATGTCAAGGAAAATTTACATTTTTCACATTTTGTACGATAACTCAAGCTTTCTGTCACCCATTCACATAATACTATAGTACTAACTTATTATATACTATTTATTACATTTGTTTTATACTGTTGGGAAGGGTTGTATCATGTACTTATGGCACATTTATATTTACACATAATGCTTGGCATAAGTATATTGTGAGGTATCTGTCAATTATTGAAATATCCTAATCAATACTGGAAACAATACTCATATGTGTCAGGCTCACCAGTAATGTCGTAACTCAGAGCAAATGAAGAAATTCTGTAAACTAATCTATGTTGGTCACAATATTGCAAAAACAAAATGTGTTTTCATCAAACTAAATAATTTTTTTTGCCAATATATCTTACTGTAAACTCTTATTTAGTATGATATCAATTTTCGGTTGACAATACTCAAATACCATAGTGAATTTGGAGATTTATTAATTTTTTATAATTTTATGATAGCTATTAAAGTCATAAAAAAAAATTCCTTTGGAAAAATGGCTTATTCCTGATACACATCATATTACAAAACTACAGATATTCAAAACATGTATTAACTAACAATATTTAATAAATTGGATGTGATGATAAGTAATACACATTTGTAAAAGTATAGTAAATACCATTATCTTTTCCTTTCATTATGTCTTTGTTTATTTAGCAGGATCATACATAGTTGATATTTATATTAGTGTAAACAAATGATTGTGGATTAAATTTTTGAAGTTGCAATCATTTCACATCTTATTTTACAGTAACATGGAGTTGAAAAAAGCTCATGTTAAAACCAAACTTTTTTAAGAAATATTTGATGTTATAATCATGACAAATATGTCTTACTTTAAACAATTGAAATTACATTGAAGTAGATTATGCTTTTGTGAGTATGTTATTTCATATTCCTTAATAACCTCTTTTTTTTGAAGATTTGTTTTTATAATTAGGCCAACATTCTGTATTGCCAAATTGTATTTATTTGAAACAGGAAAGAAGTCTCCATCTGTGATTTGTTGTTATATTTTACACTATGTAATTTTTCAAGATTATAGGGATATTGTCTTTCATTTTTGAACAAGTCAAGGCATGTATTGGTTACATAATGAATGCAATATGATGTCCTAGTGCTTTTAAACAAAATATGTAGAGCAGAATTATTGCCTGGATGACACTTTCATAAGCCAAAAAAAAACCTTCAGTATGACTTCATTTGAGATGGTAATGGGCTTTGTAATGTTGAGTTTGAACCTCTGACAGAATATACAAAGCAGGAACAGACCTCAATATTTATCTCATTTCAATTATGTTTTCATGGTTAGAAATGAATAGTGTTTTCTTTTATATTCATTTTTGATAACCAGGGTACATATCCATGTATTATGCAGTCAGACAATTTTTAATAGTCACTGAGAGTATAATATCTTAGGCCAAAAATTAGCGGAGTCTAAAAATAAAACATGAAAGTTTTCCCTTTTTTAAATAAAAATACGAAATTATAAACCTAATATCTTTGATGAGTTTTTATTACAACATTATGTAGGTTATTTCTTTACCAACATTTTTCTAAAAACTCCAGTTGAATGCTCAAAAATGTGTTTCTTGATAGACAATATCCCTTTAGACTTTAAACATATTAATAAAACTCAAGCATTGTAGATATTTTTGTTAATGTTTGTAAAGTAAAGGATATTTAAAAGGTGCAATAGTTGTTAATTAGTGCATTTCATTTGTTTATTTAATGTATTTTCATTTGTTTATGTTTGATTTTGATGAAGAAAAAATATTTTCAAGCAGTGCAATAGATTTTGAACACAATGTTGATTGTTTTTTTATTAAGAGGGCATACATAAATATTCTCTTATGAACCCAGCTGCCCAACTTGTTTTAATGTTTGTTTGAATAGTCCTTTTGATTTGCAAACTTGCAGGCAACATGCAATCCAATTTAGCTAAAGCTAATCAATGTGACTCTACAGCTGTAATTGAATAAAATACATTAAAGGAAATACACAATAAGATGTTATTTGGGCAGAATATATGTTCAGTTGTCAAATGGTAGTATCTTCTAGGTAACTTTTGTTAACACAATCTTGTTAACCAATATGACCCCTTAAAACAACTTAATCATCTCTCCTTTTTCTTAGTTCAAATTGATTATCAGATCAATCACCATTTTGAAGATAAAATTGTTTATTGTGCATCATATTAAGCTTCTTCCTGTTACACCATGCTGCACTATGCACTACCCTTTATTTGAAAGTTTCTGTGTGTCTAGTCATAAAAGTTTACACCAATAGCATTGGTGTCCAGAATATGTTGAATAATTATATTATACATATTTTGTCTGTAATTATGTATACTAACAATGTATTTTGTTACTTAATAAAAATTTTGAGTTAAAGATTGAAAGCAGTTTTTCTTTCATGCAATAATCTTTTAAAAAAAGGGACCTTCACTGAATTTTATATGACATTTGTAAACTGAAAAGAGAATGTGTATATTCAAGAAGCACAAACTACTCATCACAAGGCCCCAAAATGACAAACGCAAAACAATTCAAAAGAAGATCCCGATATCCTGGTTTTTGCCATAACAATTATAGCAGACAGCAATCAAAAAAATTGTAGCAGACAGCAACCAACACCAATCATTTGTTTACAGGCTCCTTGCTTAGGACAGGCAAATTATGTGGCGTTAAATATGTTAATGAGTGGTCAACCCTTCCCCAACTTTAGACAATGGTGTAACATTTCAACAAAAAACTCTCTAAAATTAGTTGAAAAGGCAAAGAGACTTTAGATCAGTACTAAGCACAGAAAGAAACTAATAGAATGACAAAAAAGCAAGGTTACACCCTAACAGTGATTCCAGCTACTGAAAGCTAGTTCAAAGCATATTTTCAGCTTAGAATATTTTTTGTTATCCAAAACTTAAATGTCAATCTGTCATTACACACCCAACAGATTTAGTTAAAAGACGTCATAACGATTCTGTGGATAGCATGATCCTGTGCAATGCCAAACAATTGGTATCTACATGATGCAGGATGGAGTTGTTTATAACTGGATAGTAAAAATATGTTAAGTTATGAATTAGCCTTTTTAGAAAAATAATATGGTACTGATTAAGGAAATATTGAAAATATTGATGTTAAAATGTTATATAACTTTTAAGTCTTCAGTTTATTCGAAGGACCAACACGTTTTCTTGAATCAGATCTTTATCTTTATCATGTTATCATGTTATCTTACGGTCTTTTTTCGTTTAATGCCATGGCACTGTCAGTTCGTTTTCGACATATGAGTGTGAATATATTCCTCCTCTCTTTAATATTGTTTGTCTTTTCTGCCTTTTTTTTTGTTGTGCATCATGATTTTATCAGTCTCCGCTACTTCCGAGTTTTAATTCTTCCTGTTGCATCTTCCATTTCTTTTTTATGTAGGAATTATACAAACAACATCACTGCAAAAATGAGGATGTGATATTCGATTCAATTCCATTGATAATAAGTTTTGTACTGGTGTGTTTACTGAAAAGTAAAATCACAAAAATACTGAACTCCGAAATCATTACTGAATGAATGATTTGATTATACCCCCGTTCCAAAGGAGAGGTATACTGTTGTACTGTTTTTTTTTCAACAAACAATCGGCATTCACATAGGAACTAACTGTGTTCCTCTTCTTGCCGACTAATTCATTTATTCATACGAGACTGATTCATACAGAAGCTTCTTACGCAAAAAGTAAAGAAGTTAGCATTATCTTTTAACTTCCCCTTCCGCTATAAAGATAGTGTTCTCTCACTAAATAAATTAATTCAAAGTTTGGTGACTATGTTGAACGCATCTATCCCTTCGAACTTGAGATAAAGGATACAGCTACAGTTAAGTCAGCCTCATATCTTGACTTACATCTAGAAATTGACGGAAAGGGCCGGTTGAAAATAAAACTTTAAGACTAAAGAGATGATTTTAGCTTCCCAATTATGAACTTTCCATTTCTTTGTAGCAACATTCCAGCAGCGCCTACATATGGAGTCTATATCTCCCAGTTGATACGATATTCCAGTGCTTGTATTTCCAATCATGATTTCCTTGATAGAGGGTTGCTGCTCACAAGTAAGCTTTTAAACCATGATCCAAGTGGTGAAGTTGAACTCATTCCTTTCGTAAATTTTACGGACGCCATCACGAGTTGGTTGACCCTAATGGAATATCTGTTTCACAGATGACGACGAATATGTTCCAATTGTCGTAAGCACGATCCCGTCCTCTTTTCCTCGAATATGACCTATCGAATTAGGCTGGTCAGCGGGTTTGTACTTACATGAGCAAAGCGACGGGTGCCACATGTGGAGCAGGATCTGCTTACCCTTCCGGAGCACCTGAGATCACCCCCGGTTTTTGGTGCGGTTTGTGTTGCTTGGTCTTTAGTTTTCTATGTTTTGTTTTGTGTTCTGTTGTTTGTCTTATGGTGTACTGTTACACCACTGTCCCATGTTAGGGGAGGGTTTGGCGCCATCAAACTAGTTTTATCCCGTCACATTCTTTATTGGCCTGTCCCAAGTAAGGAGCCTGTAGTTCAGTGATTGTCATTGGTTAATGTTAATGACATATATTTGTTTTTCGTAAATTGTTTTGTTATAAATTAGGCCGTTAGTTTTCTCATTTTAATTGTTTCATATTTTTCATGTCGGGGCCTTCTATAGCCCACTTCATTTGAACTTTGGTTGATATTTGTCTCATTGGCAATCACACCACATCTCCTTATTTTTATATGCTATACCGTCTGATGCGGTTTCTGAGTCATCGATCTTCAACTTCCATTTTACAGAATACTTATATATTCTAACACATAATGACCATGTATATATGAAATATTTGTCGCATTTTTCTAGGGAACTACATATAAGAGCGTCCTGAAATTTGTTATCGAGCAGTATGATATACTGTGTGATGCGTTTTCTGATTTGTCGCTCATCGTCTTACTGCTTATCGATTACTTATATATTCTAACAAATAATGGCAAAGAATGAAGTTGTCGTCGCATTTGTCAAGGGGACTTTCTGACATATGTTATCAGGCGTCATGTGAAAATGTTTTTCCCGTGATTTGCATTTTCAGATTTAAAGGGACATTAGCTACGAAATATAAAAAAAATAAAATATTATTTTTTTTTTGTTCAATCATTAATGAAAGTGAAATAGGGAAATAATAATTCGCTTTTAGCAGCCAATTTTGTTCAATTTTGTCATGAAGATAAGCTATAAAACATTGATGATGAATTATTCACTGGCAAATGAATAATTCGACCTCATTAAAATCTGTATTCATGTGACCTTCAATTTAACCTTTAGCTGGAGATGGGTTACGCATGTATTCAGCTATTAAAAGGAAAAGAATGTCAGCATTGAAATTGAAACTATGATGAACCATTTAGTTGACTGATTCGATCCACAAAATATCATTCTTATACAGGTAAAAACGATGACAAACATACTTTCTAACCTACAATATGAAATCAAACAGACTTAGAAAAATCCAATTGCGCGTGGTTTCTGTCTATTTATGTCTATTTATGTTTATATCGGGATATATGACTGGCGTCGGCAGTCTTCGGAGGTCATCTTTATGGTTAATTAAATGACGTCTAGACAAAATACACATGAAATGTTGATACATATTATCGAGTCCATGCATTGTTAATTGTTTATTTTAGACTTTTTGTAATTTGGATATGCGTTTTAGTATGTTATAAATTAAATATGAGAATTTGAGTAAAATCGGTGAACATGAATTTGACAGTTAATGCGCCTTTAAGTCGCATACATATCTTGTTTACCGATTACTTATACTTCTAACACATAATGGTCGTGTATAAAGTATTTCTCACTTTTTTCTAGGGAACTATAAATAAGAGCGAACTGAAATTTGTCGTCAGGCTTCAAGTGGACATGCTTTATCGTATTATATGCTTTCAGATTCATCGCTCATCAACTCATGTTAACGAATGCTTAAAGTGGAGATATCATTAGTCAGCAGTAGCTCATTGTTTAACTGTTATTTCTGTGTGTTTATTTATTTTATTACTAGTCCTAGTTGAGATATTTTTTTTATAATTTAACTTAAGTTAGATCAGGCTTATAAAGGCAAACAAACGTCTAAATTAATGGAGATATGTTAACCTGAGTTATCACTTGGTCGATTTCACTGATGGTGGACGTTTCGTCATCGGGATTGTCACAAGCCCTGTAATTAGCATTTTTGTGTTGACATGAAATATCGTTGATATGTTCAGTTTCTGTAAATTAACTTCATATAAAGTTTTAAACTGTTCGAAACCCAAAGGTGTTTCTAACCTCGGGAATAGATTGCCTTAGTCGTATTTTGGCACTCCTTTTCGGAACTTACCGTTTTTAATGCTCTTCTTTACTTTGTATTTGATCTGTCTTATTATTTTGTTTTATTAGAGTGCCACTGATATGTCTTAAGTTGACGGGTTATACCAAATTATTAGCCTCGTATCTTTGATGAGTTTTTTTCTTATTTTAAAATAAAGATTGCATGATCGTATTAATTTTTGTATATATGTATTTGTTTAACTTCCCTGTCTCTTTAACCTTTTTGTGTTTTTTTATGGATTTTCTATCCCAGAACTAGATTACTTTAGCTTTATTTGGCAAAACAATTCGGAATTTTGGGTCTTAAATGCTCTTCAACTTCGTACTTTATTTGACCTTTTAAGTTTTTTTTTATTCGAGCACGTCGTCGGCGTACAAAATTTCTATCAATAGGTAATTGTTTCCTTCTGCATTTTGTCACAGATTTTCCATGATTGACAATTGTAAAACATAGTATTGCTTCAAATTAATGCAAAGTGTGAAGGACTCAATTTGATAACCACAAATGAGTAATAAAATTTGATGTCAGTGGCAATCATTTCTCTCGTAGACGGAATGATATATGTTTAAGAAAAGTATTTCCAATAAAATCCGCATTAATAAACATTGGTTTGAATAATGATATTGATTTCAGTTAGTAAAGAATATGGTACGTATGTAGTAATATTATATACAGTGTTTTTGGAGTATTAGATGACCAATATCATGAGCTTTATAACGTTTTTTTCAATGAGAATTATCAATGTTCCAAGTAGATTATACTTTTTGCGTCGGTATACAGCCACTTTTGCTACCACTCCTTTTCAACTAACTTTATCAACAAGCAGTTGTATTTCCATATGACGTTTACTTGATTTATTGTCAACCTTCTATGCTGCCTTTTTACTAAATCGTGGTTGACTAGAATTTACTGTTAGGACATTGTATTTTCGTTTAAGGCAAACATTTCAATTGTTATAAAAATAACATGTTACACAGTGTATTCGTCTTGCATGTGAAACTGAGAAAATATATACATGTAGATGTACAACCAAATCATTAATTTTTTTCTACTGATTGAAAATATCGTCAATACCAGTAGGTAATTTGGCAAATCAATGTTTGAATGTAAAACCATTAAGCAGTTGGTTCTGCTCGTCCAATCCTTTCTCTATCAGATGACGATTGACGAAGTCGTCTGTTTCTATGGAAACGCAATATTCCCAGAGCAACTTGCAACAGGAAGAGTAAACAAGCAGTCCAACAAGCAATCTGAAAGATAACAATGAGCTGGTGACATAATCAGGTAATCTAGATAAATATAGCTACTGCTATGTCATTTTGAAATGACAGAGAGGAAAAACCTATGCGACTTGCGACTTGAGATCAGCCTGGTTTTTAGCGTCACTGGTTGGTCTTGTGTGGACGAGACGCACGTCTGGCGTATTGAATTTTAAGCCTAGTACCTTCTGCTAGCTATTATTCGTGTGTTTCTTTGTCCTATATGTTCTCCCGTTTATTTGTATTGTGGTCCTGTCATGTGATGTTGTCGTTTTGGTGTTGTGTTTGACGTTGCCATAAAAGCGGGAGGTTTGGCATGCCACAAAACCAGGTTCAACCCACCATTTTTTTCTTAAAATGTCCTGTACCAAGTCAGGAAAATGGCCATTGTTATATTATAGTTCGTTTCTGTGTGTGTTACATTTTAATGTTGTGTTTTTGTTGTGTCGTTGTTCTCCTCTTATATTTGATGCGTTTCCCTCAGTTTTAGTTTGTAACCCGGATTTGTTTTTATCTCTATCGATTTATGAGTTTCGAACAGCGGTATACTACTGTTGCCTTTATTTTACATGGTCTAAGGCATATTTACCTAACTTTGATGAAAGAAACTCAAACAGCTGTTACATGAAAAAAATCTCCTTCGCACGCTTCACAAAACCTAAACCCATGAAACCTTCAATGCTATTCTTATATAGTAGTGAGACATTGAGACTTTTGACTTGTTACAAAATCTTTCACTTAACTGCAAGCTTAAGATGGCAATGAAGTAAGCGGAGTACTATGAACATATTAAAAACTGTAACTGGCAAATAAATCTAACAAACGCTGTTATGATTAAGCCGACAATCTCATTATAGAATACAGAAAACACTAGAAAAAAAACCTTTAGTCGATAAAAAAAAACCAAGATACTTTTTTTAAGATAACTTGGAAGGGAATAACGAATGAATAAGCAAATAATTCGGAGAGACTAAATATAACAATTTCGAAAAAAACAAACAGACCGAAAGAGAAAAAGTGAAGAAATACAGATAAGAGAGATTTCATGAATGAATAAACAATAAATGTAAAAGTATATATTAGAGCACACATTTCAATCGCAGGGAAACTTTCAACAGCTTCCACACATATGACACCAAACGTATCGCTTAAATTCGCTGATATATGTTCAGATTAATTACGCAGAGACAAGAGTGAGAACAAAGATGGGTATATTAATGGACAGCTATAGTAATAAAATGAGCTGAAAAATACTACTACATGGCATTTAGTCTAGTAGCAAGAAAATACCACAGTATTAAGTTACTGGTCTGTATAAAATTCATTATTTCTTCTGCTCGTTTTTAGATTTAAGCATTCTTTTCTCATTCCAGCAACAATTTATGTTGTGCCTAAGGCCAGCTGAGTGAATCTGCAACAGCTAGTTAAGAGTATTCGACGCAGTAAAGTAAACTATAGCAATTAAACACTCAACAGTTATATAACTAGTAACTTGCCTGACAGTTAGGTACTCACCATTTCAACAGCTGGTAACTTGTCTGAATAATCAAATCGGTTTAGACAGCAACTAGAAGTTAAGCCTGAACGTGCAGTACTTACCTGTGCAACAGTCAGTAGATTTGCATAGTTTCCTGGTGTAAATTTGTCTGAAGTTCCCGTATTTGTCCATTTTATGTTTTTTCCATCACCGCAGCTTCATATTTATAGATTAAAAAAAGTAGTAACAGTAGTAGAATTGTTATAAATTAATACACTTTCACACTCCCTTTTAAAAAAAAATATGTATGAAACTCTTTTTTTTTTATGATATTTGGCCGAAAATTTTGACGATATTGGCTAAAGTGACAAACATTATTTGTTTTTAATTTTTACCTTTCTCATTGTCTAGTGTATATTCAAGGATATCATCGTCTTCTCTAAATTATATACTGCTGATGTATTAAAGGGGCATTAGCTACGAATAAGGCAAAAATCTTATATTTGATTTGTTGGTTTTAAACATTTATAAAAGTTGAATATAGAAATAATATTTCGCTATTAGCAGTCAGATTGGTTTAAATTCGTCAAAATAAGCTAAAAAAAAGGATCAATGGTGTATTGTCGGTTTAGAAGCCAATATTTGAACTCATTTAAATCCGTATTCATGCAACTTTCAATTTGACCTTTAGTGAATATGGTTGCGTATGGGGTCAGCATGTTCATTCATTAAAAAGACAGGAATGTCAACATTGAAAAGTAAAATAAGGGAGACACTATGAATAACCATTTCGCTGACTGATCCGGCTCACAAAAAAAAATCATATACATGCAAAACGATGATTTACATATCTTTTAACCTATAACGTGAAATCAAGTAGACCTAGTAAAATCCGATTGCACGTGCATGTCTGTCTATTTGTATTCATATTTATGTTTATATCAGGTTATATGACCGTCGGCAGTCTTCGGAGGTCGTTTCGATGGATATTTTTTTTATAATTTGATGGCGTCTAGTCTAAAAAAAAAACGCACAAAGTGCTGATACATTAAAGCGATCCCATGCATTGCTAATTGGTTCTTTTGGATTTTTTTTTGTAAATTGAATATACGTTTTACGGTGTTATAAATACAATTTAAGAATTTGTTGTCTAAATAACATACAGCAGACATCTTTGAATTATTATAAAGAAATATTCTGACATTTAATCAACATAAAAATAAAAAAGATGGTATGATTGCCAATGAGACAACTCTACACTAGAGAACAAATGAAGTAGAAGTTAACAACCACAGGCCACAAAACAAGTTCTTTTCTGTTAACAGTTTTCGATGTTGCAGTTTTGACAAAATATCAATACTCCTGTATATATGCTAAAAAAGATAAGAGCATATACAAGAAGTAAACAGATTATCAGATTTCGTGTTGTGTTGTGTTGATTCCAGTATTGGCTCCTTAATTTATTATTAAAGTATTATTTTTTTCGAACGATGAACGTGATTTACATTACAATTTTACGTGAAAGAAATGAAACGACATAAACATACCTCTTTACATCCGAGTATTCTTTTAACCGATCGCAAAATACTTTATAACCAACACTTATCATGCTTGCACTGACCAATACCATCACGCTTAGAGTAGAATTTATCAATATAAATGGCATGACCCACATTTCTGACCTGCAAAAAGTCCAAACACAAACATTTCAATGCTACTTTTAATAAATAAATTGGAGATCGAGATAAAAAAAAAAGGCTAGTTTAACCCTGGCATATATTCATGGAGTTTGTTGTTAATGGCCTTTGTTAGTTTCTGATGAATGTGTTCACAATTCGTTTTAGATATCGACGAATTACAATTTTACATGGATCTGCCTATTATTGAAGACCGTATGTTGACCTCTTGATGTCGTTCGTTGTTTGTTGCTTTTTGTACCAACAGAAGCCACTATCAAAATAGAATAACACCAAGACTCTCTCTAGGTGGCTGGCTGAATACAGGAGTTGCACTTGGGCTTATTTGTTTATGAGACTACGACAGAAGGGTTGAAAGAGACTTTTCTGGAATGAAAGAATTTCACTAAGAATCACTTTTGTTTTTTTTATTATTTTTTCTTTTCATTTTTTTTTTTTGAAAAAAAAGGGGGGGGTAAGAGTCTCACACACAAGACCTAATTTATTTTAATTGCAAGAGGCAGTTTTAATCTCGGTTTTAATTTTGCTAAATGGTGAATGATAATACTATCAATATGAATTAATATTAATCTTCAATAATAATGGTAGAGTCATGGTTTATGTGGAATGGAAGAGTCGTTACAAATATTTAACAATCGCCTTAGTTAATAGTGTAGAGACGAAAAGTCGTTATAACAATACATAAAAGAGGGATAATGTGAAATTACGAAATATATAGTACAACATTTCATAGCAACTGCCTACATCTGACACCTACGAAAGCTCCCTCGCCATTACTGATTAAATTAAATCCAGACGCACAAATAAAAAAGTGGTCACTACATACCCAATATTTATGTTTGCTCTTGATTTCCGAACTGCATATGCGTTGTAACAACCGAGTGTTAGTCCATAAAATATACATGCAAACACACTCATATAGACGGGGAAATTACAGTTTGCTCTACTGCTTGACCGCATCCTAAATTTAAAATTAGCATCCCCTTTTTCAAAGTCTGCATAAAGTATGCATATTCCATCAAAATTGATCTGAAAGAGAAAAAGATTTTTTGGGAATGCAACAAAACTAAAATCAAAATCATTGAAATCGCACAGTCTTTTCCAATAACAGCCAGTGAATGAAATAACATTGACATCTTATATCGATCTAGAAGATATAAATTGGATTAACGGTAAAACAAAAAACAACTGTACTGCTTTGTTTACTATAACATTGAAACTGCTTTCATTGTTATAAGTATAATATAATTTCCCGAATTCCCTCTATGTTCCAAAAATAATGTTCAAGCACGCCGGTATGCTCTTTATCACGGAAACTTCCAACATCAAAATATTGTTTAAATTTTGTGTGAATGTGTGAATTCAAAAGGTTTACTGGTTGAGGTTAAAAGATAAAAAAGGAAAATATTTCTACATAAATTAACAAAAAAAGAGCATGAAATTAACAAAAAACGCATGAAGAGTTATTTACATTTTCTTCAATAATGGTTACTCGTTAAAAGGTTTTACTATTTTTTAAAGTGTTTATTTTAGGTCGCCTTGGTTTTTCGACATATATGTGCGGTCTTGTCGATTTATTCGTTTTGTTTGTTTTCATCTGAACAAGGTTCGTTTGAATTTGCTTGGTGACTAATTCACAATGTTATTCTTTGCTGCAAATTAATTGATTTTGCTGATATTTTTTCTTGAACTATTCTTTCTAGATTTATATCTATATAGAAAATTGGTATTGACGTGTTTTAGTGACGTATACAAGTTGTAGAAAAATAAATTGAGTTTGTCACGTACATTTCAGTATAGCAGTATTTTAATGTTATTAACTGCACCAGATGCGTATTTCGACAATAAATGTCTCTTCAGTGATGCTCGAGGCTTTGAAAATCACAATCTTATCAAAAATATGAAGAGCTTATAAACCAAAAATGACAAAAAAAATAAGCCAAAGTCGGGCAAGGAATTATAGCTTTGCGTGAGGGAGATATATTCCTTAATTTAAAATATTTTCCAAAATTTTGCAAAAGCAAATTTTAATAACGCAAAATCCGTATTTTCATTTGGGTACTGGCTGCTAGGCTTGTGATACCCTTGGGACTAACAGTCCACCAGCAGAGGTATCGACCCAGTGGTAGTGATAATAACACAGAACTAAAAAATTCTGCTGTTCTTACGTTTTTTATACCAAGAGGAAAATGTTTACTTCAATTTATATAGTAATTCTTTTTTTATATATATTTTAATCTGTTTTTATTACAACTATTTAACAAAATGTTATCTGAGAACTATTAATCAATAGCGACCTTGCGGAAAATGTTCCAAACACTAAATAGTCCATTTGTCAGTGTTTGCAAGAGCATTATTTTTTTAGATAGATTTCCAACTGAATCGCTTCGTGTTAGTATGTTGTGTATCCCTGTTACATGATTTAATATTTCTACAAATACATTTAAAACTGACTTAGGATTCTAAGATAAGGTTTATATGTGAGCTATAAAGGTTCTTGAGGGGGGAATGAAAAACAACACTAAATGTCATGCGTCCGAAGCGTTTTTCTAGATTTACCTTCATCAGGACGCTCAAAGCCAAATATTTGAAAACCAAGGATGTACAAGAACCGAAACAGTTGGAGAGCTATATGACCAAAAAGGACCTGAAAAAAATAACCAAATCCATCCAAGAACAACTTTGCCTGAGGGGGTTGTTTCTTTATAATGAAACCTATTTTATAATAAAAACAGGAAAACGCTTTAACTTTGAGAAACTGTAATAGTATTACTAGCATTACACAACAAAGTCTGCAATATAGAATTTAGATTAAGCACAAAATGTATAGTCAGAGACATGTCTCTGGTATAGTTAATAAATACGACAAGTTTTATGTACACACAAATTTGCATAGTTAAATGTGTTAACATAAATAAAATTTAATAGTATTGCACAACACATTTTGAAATATAATTTATAAAAGTTAAACACAATGAATAATTCATAAAATGACAGGTAATGTACTGAACAAATATATTTAGTCTTTTTGCAAATTGTCAATGCAATACACTTCACACTACTGTCGAATGGCAGTCTGTTGTCGAGGTTTCTGTACTTCTCGGATGTTGGCCATTGCGTTCCTCCAGCTGCTTCTTGTACTGGTTGGCTTCTGTGTTGTATTGAGTCTTCTTGAAAATTTCTATCGGTATGTAGATGTTTGGATGCGCATGGTGACGTGCTTCTTTAGTTTGCTGTGACATCCCTCTAAGTGATTGTTGTTGGTGGTCCTTCAGTGCTGAAGTGGTTCCATTGTTAGCAGTTGTTTTCTTCTCCCCGCTATTCGATGACGAAGTCGACGAAGGCTATTGCTTGTATGGCAATTTATTCGGCGTCTTCAAGTGTAGTAAACCATATACATCTTTTACTTGCTCTGCTGGGACCAAGGGTAAGACTGTCACACCAGTAGTCATCGTGGTACCAAGTCCTTTGATCTGATTGTGGTTCCATAAAAAATGGGAATCCTTCAACCATAAACTCTGTCGCGCAGTCGGTAAATGTTGTAGTAGCGGGTACATTGTCAGGTTCATCTGTGGCTTTCATGGTTGAAAGCCAAACATCTCACAGAGAAATTATTAACAGTTTGTATAAAACTTAGCTCTCGTGATTATTGATTGAAACAAGAAAATGCATTTATTTGCTAGAATCATTTTTTTCTTCCATATCAAAATTTCAGAGATAAGTATTTACAAAATAAAACAATAAAGAAAATAGATAAAAAGAAATTTTAAAGTGCACTTAACTTATTCTTAAGTTTCATTATTTTACTTTTTGTATATTTTGTTTTAGAATTTTACTATCGATTTAGATAAATTTTGTAAAATTTGTCAAAATAGTAAAAGTTTCTTTTATTAAAAATATTTGTCAAATTCAATGCATTTTCCTGGTGAATTTTATAAGATATCTCCACAAAATGGCACATATTGTTATACATATTTTGCACATTTTAATTAATTTAATATTAGAATAATTAAGTATCCTTTATATGTTTTTACAGGTAAAATGCAGGTAATAAAAATATGACTATAATTCAGAAATAAACTAAAAATAAAACAACAATACACCTATGTTTTTATAAGCCTGCAATTAAATGTAGGCAGACCAGGATTTTTCAAATGTTGGAGGATCTTGAATAAACCGTTTAATATAACTTCATATTCGACTTTTTAATAATGAAGTATAAATACTCTTTTAATACATTTCATCTTGCAATTATAACCTGAAACAAAAATACTTATCATTTGTTTTTTAACAATTTAACAATTTGTTGAAGAAAATTGATTAAAAAAGATAATTAAAAAGTATGATTAATATATTATAATCAAACAGGGTCCTTAATAAATACTATATTAATACAAATTAATACATTAAGACTGCTTTCCAATAACATTAACTCCAACTAGCACCACAGATGTTCTTTACTAACTTCGGAACAGCTATAAGTAATTCCGCCCAACGAGCAGTTGCCAACATCATCTTGAGAAGCTGATTTTTCCACTACACACAAAGATTCTGGAGAAAGACAAAGAAATAGGCATTCGCCACCACATACAAAGACGACGACCTCCGACCACTGGTATAAGACGTGCTGCAGTCTTACTCCTTGTCTCACCAGAGTTAGTTGAAGGTGTGTGATTTACTACACTTGAAGACGCCAGAAAGATTGCCATCAACTAGACGTCTTTCATCGACTATGTCACCGAGTTCTGGGTAGATGGAAACAACCGCTAACATTGAAAACACTTTAACAACAAGAGATCACGCACCAACAATCACTTAGAGGGATGGCACAGCAAACTAAAGAAGCATATCAACCATGCGCAACTAAACATCAACATCCTGATAGAAATTCTCCTGAAGACTTAATCCACTACAGAAGCCAACCAGGTACAAGTAGCAGCTTTCGGAACTCAACGACCCACATCCAAGAAGTACAGAAATATAAACAACAGACTGTCAACACAGAATGAACACTTTCTTCGAGGTGAACTTACTGTCCAGGACTACGCTTACCAAGCCATCTTCCTTCTCCACATGTTAATTCGACTATAGTGTGTAGTGTATTTAATTGATTTTATCTGAGATAACTATAGTATTTGATTAATTTCGTAATAGACTCAATGTATTTGTTTAGTACAACATTTCAGTACATATTTTTGTCGAGCCTGCGACTTTTGTCGCAGAAAGCTCGACATAGGGATAGTGATCCGGGCGGAGGCGGTGTGAACTAACTTTTTAAAAGCTTAATATTTCAAAAGGTAGAAGACCTGGATGCTTCAGACTTTGTATATAGATGCCTTATGATATGAAGTTTCTGTCTGTCATATGTCCATTGTCCTTGACCTCTTTTTCATGGTTCAGTGACTACTTGAAAAAAAGTTAAGATTTTTTGTAATGTTAATTTCTGTCTTATTATGAGTAAGAGGATAACTAAATTTGGTCCTCATGCCTGTCAGACAGTTTTCGCTTGACTTCAACCTCATTTCATGGATCAGTGAACAAGGTTAAGTTTTCATGGTCAAGTCCATATCTCAGATACTATCAGCAAAAGGTCTACTATATTTGTTGTATGTAATGATTGTAAGTTGTACATGTCCAACTGGCAGGTGTCATCTGACCTTGGCCTCATTTCCATGGTTCAGTGGTAAAAGTTAAGTTTTTGTGTTTTGGTCTGTATTTCTAATACTGTATGCAATAGGTCAACTATATTTTGTGTATGGAAATATTTTACGATGTACATGTCAGTCCGGCAGGTTTTATTTGTCCTTGACCTCATTTTAATGGTTCATTGCTTAATGTTAAATTTTTGTGTTTTGGTCCGCTTTTCTTAAACTTTAAGCAATAGGTCAACTATATTTAGTGTATGGAATGATTGTAAGGTGTATATGTCTGTCTGGCAGGTATCATCTGACCTTCGCCTCATTTTCATGGTTCATTGGTCAATGATCAGTTTTCCTAGTTAACTTTGTTTCTTAGGTACTATAAGCAATAGGTCAACTATATTTGATGCATGGAATGATTTTAAGGTGTAAATATCTGTCTGGCAAGGTTCATCTAACCTTGACCTCATTTTTATAGTTCATTGGTCAATATAAAATTTCCATCGTTTGATCTGTTTCTTTTACACTATAAGCGATAAGTCATCTATATTCGGTGTATGGAATGATTGTTTTAAAGGTGTACATGTAATTCCTGCTTGGTTTATCTGACCTTGACCTCATTTTCTTGGATCATAAATGTTAATGTGATACTTGTAAAACTTTATATTTAGGACTATCAACATAAAATCAATGGTCAATATAGTAGGCGAGACGTTTCAGAGTGTGCACTCTTGTATACATTACGTGTCATTCTGTTATGAATTATTCATTGTGTTAAGTTTCAAGAGTTTAAAGAGCAGAATTTGTTGTTTTATACTATTAAAGTTTCCCTAAGTAAATACATTTTCCTTTGTATAATTTCAAGATTTTATGGTGTATTTGTTCATTAGTTTTAATATTATTAGTTTTAATATTATCATTTTCTACGATTGTAAAATTGTTTCTTTGTAAATCAGTGTTATTTTTATATTAGTGCTCTTTGATAAAATAAATATATTTTTTTTTTCTGATTTTGACTTTTTCTCAACTATCAATCTGTCAGAGTAAATTTTGGCTGGATTCACAGAAACTCCAATTACATGTAAATTTCATTAATCCCTATAGTGCCAAGAAATCACGTTTCTCCGACAACAAGAAATTATTTACCTGTATACAAAAAAAATATCTAATGTTGAAGAAGCGTGAACACACCTGTTTTTACCACTTCCTCGTTTGTGTAATTGTTTTACCAATTTAAAATTCACCTGTGTATTCAATTTAAACCCGATTGTTTAACTTTATTAAATAGGTTTCATTATAATTACACCCCAGTTCTATTGTTATACTTCATGGTTTCTATTTCTGAAACATGCGTAAATTGAATAGATCTATTGTTACGAATAACAATGGATTTTGACCACAGGGTGTGACGAGCGGGGTTTCTGGAAACCCCTGCTTCTACACCCCGCAAACAAAGTCCATTGTTATTCGTAACAATAGAAATTGATTATTTTTTAAATAGCATGAACATAAGAAATCACTAATAGTGTCCACTACAAATTGTTTCATGATATTAAAAAAAAGCATTTTAGGAAATTCCAATAAGCATCTATATGGAATACAAAAATAATCCTTTAAATACTTTTTTACTTGAAGGTATTTTTTTTATCCCAGTCATATGTCTCTATTCTAAAGCATTGATCTTTAAAAAAAATGGGGATTCTAACCCCCGGACCCCCCCCCCCCCCCCGGTTATCCAGTGGCCGATCTGGGGTTAGGGGTTCTGCGGGTTAGACCCGACTTTTATTTAAAAGATCAATGCATTTGAATGGTTGGACCCCCCCCTTTTTCTCTCGAGTTGGGAACCCCCGGGATCAGCCCCTGATTGCCCCCAAAAAGGGAGTTTCCTATATCAAATATTGTATGTTGAGCTTGTCTGGTAGTCGGATTTTTAATGCAGACACACATATCCCTTAGTATTTTCGAATATGAATGTTTGTTTATTCTCGAGAAGAAGGGGAGGGGGGCTTTCGTTTTTTGATAAAATCGTAAGATATAAAATACAGTTATGATTACCTTTATTAAACTGATACAGGTAAGTACTTTGGGTTATAATATTGTCTTTGTCTTTAGTCTCTTATACCAAATCCAACGCTTGCCACAAAATGTCGTCCGTCTTATACCCGTCCATATTGACAACTGTATACCAGGAGTATGATGTATTTTTTGTTTGTAATAAGAATACACGAAACAGTTAACCTTGACCTGCTGATCCATATTAGCACATGGATTTAACGGGAATATGCAAAACAACTTTGACATTTGTAAAATATACTCACTTGTCAAAGTTTGAACGAAGATAACCAAAGAAAGGTTACTAGTGGGGTTTCATGTAATAAAATTTTTTTTTTTTTTATAAATCATGGTTTGATATTGTCAATAAATATGCTATCGTTTTTTTTTCATTTAATAATCAATGTTAACAAATATAGGGTTTAGAATGGGGTGTAAGTTAGTTATACACCTCGGGATACGGCGTGTCTGGATAAGAAACCCCTCCGGCCTCCGGCCGACGGGGTTTCTTATCCAGACACACCTATCCCTCGGTGTATAACTATTACAGACACATCCCCCTCAGGCAAAGTTGATATTTGATGGATTTGGTTATTTTTCAAAGTCATATAGCTCTCCAACTGTTTCAAGTTTCTCCAACAAGAAAATTTTGACATGTTTACAAAAATATCAAATGTTGGAGAAACGTGAACACACCTATTAAACATCGTATACAGATGACAATATACCTTCCTTAAAATAACCGTTTTAATTGTTTAATAAACACCAAGCCCATCTTTTGTTTGACACTAGTTGGATAAACGTGAGTTGGACTTTTCAAATGTTGGAGAACCGCGAATAAACCTCAAAACCTATCCGGAAAGTTAGAGACCAATCAGTAACAATTTTCTATGAAATCCATGAATAAATGTGTTACTATTTTATTCAAAATATTAAAGTATCAAATTTTGAACAAATTGATTGATCTTTTATTAATTTTTTGGGAGGTATAGTTTGCAGTCTCGTTGACATGCCTAACATCGGTTTTTATTCATATTCGATTTTTCCTGAAATATATCAAGATACCGACTGAATTCACGAATTAAGACTGTGCCAGAAGTTCAAAAAATCGGGGGACAATGGAAGACTGACTAACTAAAACATACCATTAACATAAACAAATGAACACATAACATACAGTTATCAAAACAACGGATACATGCAAGAAAACATCAGCACAAAACACTAAACTCTTGACAATATGAATTATGTTTTTACAGCATGCATTCCAGAATAAACAAACTGCGGAACAATGAATTAATCAATGGATATGGGAAAATAGAAAGCAGAAAGAAACATATGTCCCTTACATATTTATGTTGTGAATATGATATTATTAATTATAGCATGAAATTATATATAAAATCATGTTTGGAAAATTCACCTACCGTGTTAACGCCGACAGGAATAGATATTGCAAATCCAGATAAAAATATACAAAAATAAAGTACAGTTTGTACAAGCAACTGTATATCAACAACAGCCATTATATACCGGAACTTTGAAAACTACACATGCTATAAGGTGTATATTTAAAAATACAAACATGTTAATTTTAGATTTTTAAACTAACTACAAATACAAAAGACATCGAGCCACATGTTTTACGTGTCTTTAACATTATACTTTGTGTTTATTAATTCAGCAATTTTATTTACCTTTAAAGCGCGAAATTCTGTTGCTTTGCTGTTGCCAGTAAAAATCTAGTTTTATTATTAATTTTGTGAAAAAGTTTGACCTATGTTTTTGCAAGGGTTAGCATTGCTTTTTTTCGTATAGAACTTACTTATATTATATATCCGTATTAAATACAATTCAAATAATAATTTTCGTTGAAAATATATATCAAGCAGTTTGATTGAGTTATAAATTCAATATTATTAAAACTTTCACCTGCAGAAATTTAATCGTTTATCTATTTCTATGTTGTGATGTTACACTATTGTTTCAGATAAGGGTGAAGGTTGGTACCTATTAAAACGTTTAAACCCGCTGCATTTGTTTGCGCCTGTCCTAAGCCAGGAATCTGATGTTCAGTAGTTGTCGTTTGTTGATGTGGTTCATAAGTGTTTCTCGTTTCTCGTTTTTTATATAGATAAGACCGTTGGTTTTCCCGTTTGAATGGTTTTACACTAGTCATTTTTGGGGCCCTTTATAGCATGCTGTTCGGTGTGAGCCAAGGCTCCGTGTTGAAGACATAACTTTGACCTATAATGGTTTACTTTTACAAACTGTGACTTGGATGGAGAGTTGTCTCATTGGCACTCATACCACATCTTCTTATATCTATATAGAGAAGGAAACATGGTTTTGTGTGTCGCTTCTCCAAAAACCAGATTAAATTAATAAGTATGACACTGTGTCCAGAAGCTAACATTCCCAGTGAATTTTGTTTTCCGGTCACTTTTCATTTTCATTCTTTATATATAAAAATAACAAGATGAGATATGATTGCCAATGGGACAACTATGAACCAGAGACCAAATGACGTAGAAGTTACCAACTATAGGCCACCGTACGGTCTTCAATAATGAGCAAAACCAATACCGCATAACAAACTTTTAAGACCCTGACATGAAAAATGTAAAACAATTCAAATAAGGAAAACTAACGGCTTGATTTATGTACAAGACAATGCCAATATACATCAACTCACGACAACCACAGAATTACAGGCTCCTGACTTGAGACATGCATATACCTAGTGTGGCTGGGTTAAACTTGATTGCGTGCGCCCAACCATCCCAAAAGTTTGGACATTGGAATGACAGCACATTATAAGAACAAACTATAATAATCAGTTAAACAAGGTTCGACTCACAAAAACCAACTTACAAGTGGACTTGTGACACAAAGTTCAGATCTGAGAGTACTATTTCAAAGCCAATAACAACTTATAACAAAATCATGTATCTAAAACTAAAATAGCAATCAGTACACATCCAGTGATTAAGGGAAAAGACGTCATACACAGTCAGAGAAAAACATGATCTTGTGCAATGCCAAACTAAACTGCAAATGTATCGATAGAATGTAGGACCTTAGACTTGCATAGCTGTATATCAATAATATTTCGTTATGTTTTAATTGATTGATAGCAAAATCAATGTTTGTACCGATAATAACAATTTTCATAGATCGTATTACGGTGTTAAATTGTTAACATGTTGAATTGGTTAATTTTACAGATCGTTAAGTTGACACGAATCGTATCTAAATTTACGGGCTTTATAAACAACATAATCGATAAGATGGGATGTGATATCCTGTTTAGTTTGAACTATCCGGGTGAAAAGATTTCAGAATGCCATATCCATCCTCCGATATACGAGTACCGGCAGACAAAGCGGTCAACAATGTGGCACTGGTATGACGTAAATATTAAAATACTACACGGATGTTCTTAAGAATTAATTTATAAATTCTTCTACATTCAAATCAATTTCCTTCACAGAGAGTCAAATAGTAAACAATCATGTTACTACCACATCTCAGCTTAAGGCCTCCAATGAATATTCGAAGGTCCCTACTAGGTATTGGCTACATAAACTACACAGAAAACCCGTCTAAACAATAAATCCGTTGGATCTGTACTGGTTAATATATTAGTCTGGGAGAAAATGATTTATTTATTATTTGTATTTGGCTTTGAACTAGCTTTCAGTAACTGCGAAAACTATTATTTCGGTGCTTTGTGGCTATTGTTTTTGTGCTACTATAGTTGTTTGTGTGCCTTGTACCAATCTTTCGAGTTAAGCCAATTGCAACTGATTTTTACAGTTTGTACTTATGTTGTACTGTAACACCACTGTCCCAGATTATGGCCGGAGGGTTTAGCGCTAACAAACATGTTCAACCCCGCCACATTCGTTATGTGTCTGTCCCAAGTCAGGAGCCTGTAATTCAGTGTTTGTCGTTGGTTCATGTCTGTCATATGTGTTATGGTAATTTTTTTTGTTATAAATAAGGCCGTTACTTTCCTCGTTTGAATTGTTTCACATTTTTTTTAATTTCGTGGCCTTTTATAGCCGACTATATGGTGTGGGTTTTTCTCATTGTTTAAAGCCGTACGTTTGCCTATAATTGTTGACATCCGTTTCATTTGAACTCTGGTGGATAGTTGTCTCATTTGGCAATTATATATGACTTTTCGACACTCTACACTACACTTCCACACAATCTTATCAAACACCAGTTTTCTTATTTGATTAAATGGTCCTTTGAAAAATCTTATTTGCTGCAACTCTTTTGAAGCCTTCTCCTGTAATGAAAAAGGTAAATATGCTAGATATACTAACTTGGACTATGATGAGATGATTAAATGTGTAATTTTCTCCTTGACAACATGTATGTACGTTTCGGTAATAAAGATTATAGAAAGGGTTTCCTTGGCTACCAATTGATATCATACTTGCCCCTGTAATGCTATGAATCACAGTGTATGGCCACCTCAGTTAAAATCTGTCTAAAGTTCATTTCATATATAAATTTAATAACACTCACCGTTAACTTGATTATATTTTTTGCGTAAAATGATAAAGAATTCTACAATGATACTGCGGAAATTTACACAAGGGAACTTTCTTTAAATAAATCTAATATTATAAATGACCTTTTCTAGATTGAATATTTCAGTTTCACACGGGAAAATAAAAACACAAAGTTAAGACAATTTTTCGTTCCCTATTGTTAATTTTCCATTTTTTGGGAGATTGATGTTCCTGTGGTCACTTATTACGGTTCATAGCTGTAACTATTACGTAAGGGACTTCGTTACCATATATTATTTAAATGTTTTACTCATTTCTTTCATAGATACAAAAAATTGGTTTTGAAGTTTGGTTGAACCTGCGAAATTGGTATTAAAAACGGGATATTAAATCCTTATTTTATGGTAATGTACAAAGCCCTTAAATTTAGATATGATCCATTTTAAATTATAGATCCATTGGATGAAGTTCTTCATAAAGGATATCACTACAACACCCGCAGTAAATATGTTTGAATATTGTATTTATCGGTCCTCACACTGATTTTTGTTTTAAAAAATCAAAACCTAACAAATTATGTATTGCTAAACATTTATGAAAACGTTCCACATCTTGTCGTTATTATGAACTTATATTACAGCATTGCACAAGGTCAGACTGTTTGTGTCGTCTTTACACTGCCGTTAGACTGGAACACGTGATTTATTTATTAGTTGCGCTTAGAACTAACTTTCAGTAACTGCATGGTCTCTTAGGTCGGTACTTTGTATCTTTTGTCATCTAGTTATTTTTTACACGTTGTTCCAATCTGATGAGTCAAGCCATGTCCAACTGATTTTTATACTTTGTTCTTATGTTGTGTTGTTATACAACTGTCCCGTGTTATGGGAGGGATGAGTATGGAACGCCATGACTGTCTTCTGATGTTGATTGTTTAATATGTTCGGTGCTTTATGCATTACGTTCAGTAGTATTTATATTTTGTTCAGTAGTTTTCATATTCTGTTCAGTAGTTTTGACATTATGTTCAGTAGTTTTGACATTATGTTCGGTGCTTTGGTTATTATGTTCAGTAGTTTCATTATTATATGCAGTGGTATTTAAATCATGTTCGTTACTTCTGACGTTATATTCAGTACATTTTGCATTATGTTCAGTACTTTCGACATTATGTTCAGTAGATTCAATATTATTTGCAGTACATTATGTATTACCTTCAGTGGTCCCGGTTTCTTTTTATTCGGTGGATTATTCATTATGTTCAGTAAAAGCATCAGTATTATACTCGGTTCAATGAACTATATGCTCAGTAGTTGTATCATTATGATGATGCAGTAAAAATTGGGAAATCAGTAACGGAAATTGTCGGAAAAAAACGAACGTGGACATTTTTGACGGACGTTTTCTTCATGGACACTTTTACGGGATGGAATGAAAATGGAAGAAATGGAAGCAGTATTAAATTGGTTTGTTTTACGTTCCCACGTTGGCAATTTTCACAAGGAAAAAATTACTCCTGACTTAATTTGTAAGATGTCATGATTGATTGTTTGTTGTTTTCTGAACGTATAGTGGCAAATATTTCACGCATATTTATGACGGAGAGAAGAATTTTTAAACAAAAAATAAGAAGTTGCATGCATTGTCGTTGATACACCATGACTATAGACAGACGAAAAAAAGACAAACAGCAAAAAAAGATTATATAAAAACATATTCTATAGCTTTTGTATTTCTAGAAGGTAACCCTTTTTGTTGGTTGGTTGTAGCATACTAATCTCATGCACCGACTTACCGACTTTTAAGAGACCACCAAAAATCTCCTTCTGGATATTCTTATTGTATTCTGCATCCTACCCCGCTAATAGGCGCTTAAATATCAGATATTTATTTGAGATAATCCAAGATATATGAGATTGTAAATGAGGTTTACAGAAAAGAGAATAATGCCCCTACCCCCAAAAAAGAGAAGGTGGGCAAAAAATAAAGAATAGAAAATAAAGGGGTGCTTTAAAAAAAAATGTTTAAAACTTTGGAAAAA